CCCCCCCCCCCCCCCCCCCCCCCCCCCCCCCCCCCCCCCCCCCCCCCCCCCCCCCCCCCCCCCCCCCCCCCCCCGCCCGGGCTGAGCCCCCTAGGCTTCCTGACTACCCCCCTAATCGTGAGGTTTGCATCTTGTTTATTAAATTTCGTTTATGTCTCATATGCAGTGATGATGGGTCGTGAAAAAAAATGAATCAAGCTGAATTAATATCATACCACGCCATTATCAAATTGGTGTGGTATGCTGTGCAGTCATAGTCAAGGTAATTTATCTTAACATGAGAAAGAAATAATTTTTGTTTTCAATATGCTACTTCCTTGTAAATCAAATACATTGGTCTTCATTTTTCATCAATAAAAACAGTGGCAAGAGAAAAACGAATGCTTGCAACTAGCGTCATAAATTAATAAAAAAGATTTTCATCCTGCGTTGACAAACACCAGATGTCATATTCGAAGCGAGAAGTTGGAAAACATTTGATTTTTATGTAATAAGGTATTCAAGTAAAATCGAAATTTCTTTTATCAGAAATATCCTATTGACTGTAGTATAGTTTTTTTGTCTCTATGAAATTACGCATTCGAAGATGATGGCATCATAAAACTTTTGCAAACTTATTCGTTTGAAAAATGAAGGTCAAATTTGAGTTTTCTTAGATATTTTTTGTTTTTAAAACTCCTTCAAAAATAACTAGAGGAACTCTAATAATTGTTCTAATGTAAGTGCTTCATGTAAGAAAATAGTTGTAAACGCTACTTAAACTTCACGATCAATCTATAAATACTTTGCTTTATAAATACGGAAAGTAGTGTAAGAGTATTTGAATTTGCATCTATTGTTATATGATGACCTCTTCCATTTTTTCTATCTGAAGTTTTGATTGAATCGTTGGTATATCCTAGAATCAGAGCTAGGACGAGTACAAGTACAGCAAGTAAAAGTATTTTACTTGTGCTTGAAAATATTTACTTTTACTTTTACTGGTACTAAAAAAAATGAACTTGTACTTTTACTTGTCGTGTCACACGTATACTTGCGCCTGTACTTGTACTTTGAAAAAAAAATACTTGGTACTTCTACTTGTGTTTCAAGTAAAGTATTTGGTGCTTATACTTATACTGTGGTAACAGTACTTGATAGTTATACTGGGTGAGTCTTAATGAATGGAACATATGAGTACAAAGTACTTTTCCCAAAGTACAATTAGTTGCACTTGTACTTTTCGTACTTTTCAAATAAAAGTACGAACAATACAAGTAAAAATACTTTCGTCCGAGCTCTGCCTAGAATATCCTTTTAAAAGTGATCTGTTAAGTTGCGCCTGTATACTGATGATTATATTGAATCTATTGATACAGATATAATGTAAGAGGTTCAGCGACATTAACTGTTTCAATATAAATTTAGAATATTTCCAAGAAAGAAAAGTATTCATATTGATTCTAACCTATAATTCTGGACGATTTTATTGTGAATAGAAATTATAGAGAAATTTTTTAAAAACTATCTTAAATTTATTTCTAGATAAACTCATTGGCTTATCAATCCATTAGATTGATTTGTAGTAAAGAAGAACAACTCGTAATATTTTTGACGGTTGGTTTCAAATAAAAATAAAGGTAGAAAGAAAAAATTAATCCAGAATGGATGCTTAATCCTATATATATAGATATATATATATACACACATATCCTGTCGAATAGTGACTGAAATATAACACGTATAATATATACATATATGATGGGTATTACGCTGTTATTGCTAACGTTTACATTTGGTTCGATGGTTTTTATTCAACCATTTATCAATTATCGAACATTATATTTTTCTCAATCAGATCGTATAACTGCTTTGCACACAATATTCATGGCTCGGATTTGGGCGCTATCTCTATTTCAACCACCATCAGTTTTAAGTCGCGCATCTCAGGCATTGATAGAAATTATGAGACTTCATGATCCTCCACTGTTTTTGAGTTCTTCACCAGATAGAACTCAATTAATAGAATATCGTTCAATAGCTAAAAAAATATTTAAGACTCTATATCCACAACGTAATAAGCAAACATGTAAAATTGAACCAATTGTATATGAATACAATAATCGACAAGTAAATGCATATTCAATCAAAGAGGGTGATATGAACGATTGGACTGATAGAAGTCAAGATGTTCTTCTTTATATACATGGCGGCGGTTTTGTGTCGGGTGATATTGATACTTATGCGGGTTATGAATGTTACCTCTCGAAAGAGTATCATATGCCAGTAATTCATATTGAACATCGACTTTCTCCCGAAAGCACTCTACTTTCGTCTATTGATGAGGTAGTTACTGTTTATATGTCTATGTTAGAATTTGATCGGAATATTACTCAACGAATGGTTGGTATGGGTGATTCATCAGGCGGCTTAATGTGGCTGCGTCTTATTCAAATTATGGTTGAGGAACAACAGCCTGTTCCTCTGGGTCTTGTGTTACTGTCACCATGGGTCGATTTAAGTTTTATGGATACCGAACGGGATAGTGATACACGAGAAAATCGTGTTTTATTTTCACTTCAATTAGCACTTAACTTGAGAAAACAAATATTTAACATTGATGAAAATCTTAAAGGTCCCGCCTATTTTGGAAAATTTACTCAACAATTGAATGAAGTAAATCCAATCGAACATTCCTTTCAAGGTTTTCCTCCACTTTATGTAAGCGTAGGAACCGGAGAGCTATTTTATTGTGATGCTCTAATGTTAGAACAAAAAATACTTGAGAGTAATAGTGAAATTATATTAGATAAAGGCTATGGTCTAATGCATACGTATCCAATGTATCATAGATGGTTGCCAGAAGCTGCGTGTGTTCAAAACAAAATACGAACATTTATCGATAAATTGTAATTAATTGCTAATTTTTGCGTTACTTGACTTAGGTTTTCTCCAAAATTCTTCGTTGTTTTGTATCTTCTAAATAAGGTGATAAAATAAAATACATCTTATAGTAGCGATTTGAGTATGAATTTTATTGCAAGTAAATTATGTTTTTAATGCGATGCGAACCAGAAGCATTTCTGTAGTCCGTCGTGAGACTTTTTTTTCTTTTTTACTTGGTCGTAAGCATCGTTTTCGTCGTTTTGTAACTCGATGATCTCGAGAACCGAAAATAATACAAATCTCGTTGAAGCGCAAGATAGAAGTATCAAGATCGAACTGCTTATACGCGTTTTCGAATCTTCAATCTGAAGTTCTGTTCATTCACAAATGTGGTTCTAAAATGACAAAAATGAAAGAAATTTGTTGCGATATAATTAAAGTGGCGTCATCAACTTATGTTAGTCACTATATAGTCTATTCATTTACAGCTGATCTAAGATAATGAATCGTGGAGATAATTAATCGATCAGTCAAAATCGATCCTTAAGAAGGAATCACTAAGTAAAAATAGATTTTTCAGAGTGATGAATATCATTATGACTACATAAAAAGTATTCAAGATTTCTTTGAACTAAAGATTTTTCGTGAAGATCCAAAGTTTTGCTTCGCATCGCATTTTGCATACGAGTGTAACTCGGATACCATCTAGTTTTTATTTCTCAAGCGATATCATATAGCCCGTGGTGTGTACACTTCTCTGCATGTCGAAACTCATGAAGATGTTAGTCACTTGGTGAATCATAATGTAGTCTTGTCCATTACACGTACAGACAAGAATCTCATTACATTCAATTGAAAACATATTTTTGATCAAAACATTTCATAATCAATTAATGTGGACGTTGACTCATTTTTTCACAGGATCTTCTTGTCAAAGTAATAAAAGTATGAAGCTTCTCAGTTTGATTCCTATCGACGTAAAAATCTGATGTCATATTGTATCACAAATTATGCTGGGTTCAAAAATAAAACGCAAAAAATCAGGCCCTCGACAACAATTAGTCATACAGCCTGTTTATATTCATCGATATTCCTGGATGTAAGCATCGATAAATTATTTTTCATTTACGTTAGTCATAGAGGTAACAGTCTAAAATGTTCTTTCAAAAATGTCCCCGTTATTTTGGTCCTTGAAAAAATGTCCCTTACGACTAGAAATATTGTCCACCGAAAAAATGTCTTTCATTTTCAAGATGTGCTTTTTGTAAAACATGAACTACTCTTATTCATAAAATTAATCATGTCATATAATCAAAAAAAACGAATAAAATTCTAATTTATTTTCCATTTGCGACAAAAGATAAAGTTCTTTTAATAATTCTTGTGGATCAATTTGTTTCTTGTCGAATCGTTCATATAATTCTTTCATACGTTGTTCTGCAATTTTTGACTTGGGTCGCTTTGCACAAGGTTTCATTCCGCTATTAATTTGAAAAATTAGGTTATGAACAGTAACTGTTCCAGAAAATCTTAAAAATGTATCATCAGAATTTGTATGCAAAATTACGTTACAACTTCGGTTTGTATATCTCCAAAATTTATAGTTTTCTTTCGATTAAAATTTAAAAATTGGAAAATTATAACCATTAATACTTAATATGAATTTTTCTTTATTCGAGTATATTTTTGCAATTGTTGGTTTAGTTGGACTTCGGTTGTAAAAATGAATTTTTAGGTGATTGAGAAGGCGATGCCCTAATCCACTCTCCCCCGACGACTCCCCTGGGGAGTCCTTGCAAAATAACGAAATCCCTGGGGAGTCCCTGTCGTCATTGGCGGGACAACGTCTCATATGGAGGTGTGGCAATAAAAAATGAAGTCAATTTTTTTTAACAGAAAACCATGTTTTTACTGTAATGTATGTATATGTTGTGGTCAAAATTCAACTCCAGTCAAATTTTAAATTTACCCGGGCAAAATTCAAATTAGAATTGTGTCCAACAAAATCCCAGTCAAAATTTTAATTTCGATTTTCAGGGTGTGGGTGTGAGTGTTAACCCTGTGTCCAACCGCATCCGACACCCACACCCACACCCACACCCACCCTTAAAATTTGACTGGATTTGAATTTTGACCACAACATATATATATATATATATATATATATATACGGATACATATATATGACTGATCATTTTTCAGGTGCGACCAGTGGCGACTCACCGCCCTAGGGCAAACAATCAGATGTTAAGATCTGATAAGATTCTGCATCTGATCTTATATGATCGTGTAAGATCCGACAAAAAATCGTACAAGAATCGTAGTCTCTGAGATCTTAGATCAAGTCGCAGAATCAGATTCTTGAAAGATGTTATCAATGTGTACGATCTTTCAAGAATCTGATTGTGAGACTTGGTCTAAGATCTCAGAGACTACGATTTTTTGTCAGATTCTTGTAAGACTTCGCACATATTCCAAGATCTTGTATGTGCTTAATAAGACCTTGTGTCAGATTTTTCGACCTGGGGCAGCCCCCACGGGTGCTGCAAGCATCCAAAAATTGTGGGCTTGTAAGTAACCTATAAAATTGTACTTCAGGTAACTGTTGCTAGATCTTCCGGGTTTTTGGGGATTTTGAAACTTTTTCTGGATTTATTTCCGATTTTTTGAGGATTTTGTGAGTTTTTCTCGACTTTTTTTGAATTTTCGACATTGATATCAGGCAACACTGGTAGAAACATTAAATTGCAAACAAGAATACATATTAATATATAAAGTACATTTTGTAAAAGCTCGCTAGAGGACTGAGTCCTCCCTGGCTTCGTCACAGGGTGTGGCAATTGCCACCAATTGCCTCGTGGTGGCCCGCCAATGCCTGTCGTGAGTCCGCAGGAATTTCTCTGGGGAAAATTGATGAGATTTTTTAAAATAAAAAGAACTTTTTAAGTTTTTCAAATTTTAAAAAATAAAGAAGAATTTATTATTAATTAGATATTTCATCCATTTTGGCCAGATAACTCCCCGGGGAGTCCCCTCAAAAGAACGAAATCCCTAGGGACTCCCTGTCATGAGTCCCCGGGGATTCGTCAGGGGACTCCCTGGGATTCTTCTAGGGAGACTTGACTAGGGTGAACATTGAGTTTCATCAATAGTTGTCAACTTATTAGATCCCATTAAAAATGTCTTTTTGCGATTACGAAAAAATATTACGCAAAACAACGAATGATACTTAAACGATATATTTTCTCGTCTTTATTGAATTATTTATACAGTAGTCGTATCCTCTGCAATAGACAATTAAAATATGCGCCGATATATTTCTTGCTTTAAGCCGTCATCTATATTTCACTAATACAGTTCAACAACTAAAAATAAAGAATAAGGGACATTTTAACGAGGGACATTTTTTCAAGGACATTTTAGACCGAATTCGTCATAGACATACTCATAGAAATATTTTCGTTTCAATAGTATATACATTTATGATTTCAACACATACTTTTGTCCTTAGTTTTTAGCTGCGTTTAGCAGAGAAAAATTAAAATATTTTAATAAAAACCAATGTACTTGAACTTTCAAGCTACATGAATTTTTATCATTTTGATTTTAATATGTCCTTTTGTCTTCGTAAACAAAAAACTCATATTTATAACTACTTTAATCATGCATATCGCACGAAAAATGGACAAAATAATACCTATTATCTTGTGCGCTATTATAGCGTAAACAAAAATCATCGATAAAAGTGTAATTAAAATGACAGGGGCAGTCCAAAACATATTTGATTTAATCATTTTCATTATTTTATTGTGTTATCAACTGGAAAAAAAAGTGTTTTGAATATTCAGCGTGAGAAATTTTCTAGGCATTCGAAGTAGTTATGTTTAGGGAATCTTCGGTAATTACTTTTGATAACGGTAACCATACCATTGTATTCTTTAAAGAACAATCATTCGTAACAACGAATAAAATTCCGATCGTTTCTCACTGTATCTTAAAAACACACGGACCTATTGAATAAGCAATGTTTTCATTTGTTATCTTGAAATATTATTCATAAGCGGTGCATCGATTCTATGTTTTGGCTTAGAATCGGAATCTACTGATTTTACACATATTCACATAAATAATCAGTCAGCTGCCAATTTTTTACAGCTCAATGCTAATTTTAAGAATTGTCATTGTTGTATTCTTATTAATCTACAGAAAGCTGAACACTTGAAGACTCATGGGGTCACCATATGAGTAAACCCTGAGTCGCTGAAAATATTTCGAGTCGGTAGCCTTTGGAAACTCAGGTAGAATACCTATTATTGACCATGAATAGATTGAATTTCACTTTTAAATGATTCAATCTTTTACAAAACAGATATTGATACAATGAGATAGTAGCAAACTCGAGAGGTAAAAAACAACAGATAAGAAACATCTTTTTACTCTTGATTACTAGCGCCCTCGTTGATCGTCTTCTTGTGAACTGGTTCTATGTTATAACAAATAGATGGTGAATCTTTATATCAATGACAGATAACGCGTGGTGCTTTATTATTGCATTAAACCTTTCAAACTATTATGTCAGGACTTTTGAATCGATTAAAAAGCCGAAAGGTATCCATATTAATATTTCATCTAATAGTTTCTATGTGTGTGTGTTGTGCCATTTTTTCTCTCTTTATTCGTAGGGTGGATCTCAACACACAAACAATAGCGACCACGAGTCATCACCATCGTCAAGCACGTTCGATGAAGAGGTTAGATCTTCGTTTGATAATTTCCCTATTATTTTTCTTGTCATTCTAAAGGGTTTTCTTTGTCCGATTTGTCATAATAAATTCAATGACTCATCAAGTCTAGCACAACATTACACACAAACTCATACAGAAGAACCTGTTGTTGATAAACACGATACAACTAGTGTGAAGAATGTAATCGAAGAAGGAGTAAGGAACCGGTGATAAATTACATTTTATTCAATGATTTATGATAGGTAAAACTAAGTGCAGATGCTGCTTTATGGAAGCAACAATTCACTGTGTCAGAACAAAGTCGAATTTTATGTAAGTGTATTTCTAGAAAATTGAATTGCAGATGGATTGTTCTATTCATTTGACTATTGTAAAAGTATCAAATTCCAATGCAACATTTGTTTTCATAGTCTGACTGATAGCAGCAGTGAATGCCTACTGCAAAAGTTCATTAAGAACCTTTGTTCTGCTTAGAATGATCTGCTAAATACAATATCAACAATCATCAGATCTTTTATATTCTATTTTCTAGTGACAAGTGAATTAGTGCAACAAAAACAACATGCTAATGATCTTGAAGAACAACTTCAATTATTCCAAAAACATTTTAAGAATGCACAAATAAAACTAGCAGATCAAGTAAATATTAATTTGAAAAATTCTTGTTTCTCATTCTAAGAGTAATACCTTTATTTTAGTCTCAAGAAATTGTTAATTTAAAAGCTACAAAAGATATCTACGATGCACAATTCGCTACTTTTACAGACGAACTTGTGAATACAAAAGTAAGTATCACGATCATTTACACAAAAACAAAACTTGCCGATTTTTAGGCTGAATTGAAAGAAAAAAATCATCAAGTAACCGTTCTATGCGATGATCTTATTCCAAGGTAAGTTATTTACCGTAAAAAATCCCAGCATCCATTGATTTTCTCATTCAATAAACTTCTCATCTTTTTCTTTTTTTTACTTCATTCGTACAGTTTGTAAGTATAGTAGTATTCTCGATCTTCTTTGTCACACAGTAGATATACTCACCTGCATGTTAGCTTTTTTTTGTAAAAATACCCACCGGTCTTCTTTTAATATTATTTTTCTGCTGAATCTTAGATCGACAAATGATGATGTCGATGTACTTAAACGTGAACTTATTGTTGTTCAGCAACGTATGTATGAAATATCATTAGAAAAAGAACAAGAAATAAGCCAACTGCGTTCTACTCTTAAAGAAAAGTTAGTTACATTTTAAAATGAAATCGAATTTTCATTTTTTTTCATATTTAGCTATAAATATACTGAAAAATTTGATCAATTCGAAAATTTATTCAATCAAGTAAATTAACTTTCGATTTTATATTAAAACATATTTTGATATTTTCTTCTATAGAATCTATCAATCTATGATGCGATCATCAGTGAAAATACGTCTCAAATTCAAAGCGGAATTCAGGAAATAAAAGAATTTGTTAGATTAACACGCGAGAATAAGGATAAATTTCAGATGGCAATAAAATATATGCGTACAAGTCTAAAAGATGTAAGTAGCACAGCAACAGTCTCTAGCTGAATTCGTTCATTTCGAGGACAAAAAAACTGCCAACTCAGTGTCGATATTTTGTTTTTGTAAATTATTCGTGCCTTGCATATTATGTCACTATGTGTATTATCTTAATAAGTGAAATTTCGTTAAATAAGTAAACGAACTTAATATTATGTCAGCTTTACAGATGTACAGAAACTAGGTTTCAGTTATTGCCAGCATTTATCAATAGCAGTTCATGTCTTATATTCAATGAGCAAACTATCGATTTACAAACATTGATTTAATAGAAACTTTGATGTCTATCACGAATCACTTTCATCTAGAATCGAACTGAAATCGAACATTTGAAACAAGTGAACATTGAATTAAACAATAATCTTGAACAAAAAGTCTGTAGATTTATTCATTGTTTTCTAGCATGGATAAGTTTTTCTTTTCTTTTTCTAAAGAATCAATCGAACGAAAAATTAATCAATGCTTTACAACTCGAACAAAAGCAAACGAATTCTTACCGAAATCAAATTGAATCATTAACTAATGAAATTCATGAATTGGAAAAAACATTGAATGAACTCAAAAATGCGAAAAATCAATTTATTCAAAACAAAATGGATGGTGATGAAAATGATGAACGACAAAATCTTGTTCGACACATAACAGAAGAAAAAGTAGCAATCAGTTTTCTATTCTTATTCGCAATTAAATTAATTTCCTATCTTCAAGGACCAATATGAGCAACAAACAAAAGATCTTCGAATAAAAATAAAAGAAATTTCCAATGAACGACAACAAATTCAAAACGAATTCGATCAGATTTCAAATCAGTATACTCAAATAACAAACGAAAAGGTATTATGATTTTAATAAACTAAGTTTATATTCTTTTCTCTAGAATCAATTACAAAATGATAAATTAAAATTGAACGATGCAATCGATTCACTCAAGAAGCAATTACAAGATAATAATAAAGATAATGTATGAACATTTTCAGCGCGACAGAAACAGGAATGAGTAGCCGTTTTAACGCTTAACTTCCTTTTCCTATGGGTCACCTGTCCTCACAACATAGCTATGATGAATTCCTTTGGGGTCAAATGAGTTAAAAAGTTTGTTTGATGTCTTTTTAGGAAACACAAATGAATGAAATAAAACGCGAATTATCAACTCTTCGCGAACAGAATAAAACTATTGAACGAAATCTTCAAAAAGCAAACGAACATAATGATAATCAAGTAAAGAATAAATTGAGTTAGTTTTTAGAAAGCTTCGAATTTTTAGAAACGAGAAAAAGAACAAATCAAAAATGATTTAACAAAACAAATGAATCGCTTAGAACACGAGAAAAATGAATTAAAACAAACGATTGATCAACATGAAGTAACAGCTAATGAAATTAAAAAACAATTAAACATAGTGAAAAAAGAAAAAGAGAAAATTACGGAGGAATTACAAACGAGAATTTCTCAATTAAATGTCAAATTAGATGAAAAAGTATTCGAGAAGACAACAGCTTTCATTTTGACGCTAAAATTTTAATTTTTAGGATGTTTCCATTAAGCGATTGTCGATAGGTGTTCATCGTGGTATTAATGTTGCTAATAAAGCTCATCAATATCTTCAACAAAATATTCACGCTAGTCAAATGAATCTAGTAGCTGCTATTGAACAGGTAATTCTACGAGAAACGGCGAGCGAAATTATTTGTAATTTCAATTAGTACACAAGATGCAACTTTAAATAAATAAAATCATGGAAAACGATAATTTAATTCTTTTTAGGCTGAACACGAGTCTCAATCAATTCGCACACAAACGCTAGAACAAATTCGTGAGGAATTCACTAACTATTTAAGTATTGTTCATACAATAGTTACTGATAATAAAGTATTTATTCAATTTGTTACTTATACATAAGCTTATTTTCATTTGTTTCTTTTTTGACTAGGCTAAATTTGAGAAAAAATTTGAAAAAGAAAATTCAACATTTATCCAAACAGAAGAACAATTAAATAAAATCAAACATCAATATGATCAATTACTAAAAGAACATCAAGATCAAAAACAAAAATATGAAATGCAATTAAACGAAGTTAGTCGTAATTTACTCCAGGTACGAGATAAACTTCAGTTCCAAATTAAAGATTTATACCTATGATCGTAATTTTAAGAATGCAGCTAATAGCATTTTCTTTTTCGTTTTCCATCAACAACGTTTTTAGGTTTCTGAATCATTGTCTGCCGCTACTCAAACTGTTGATCTTCAACGAGAAAAATATGAAAAACAAATTGTAAATAACATGAAACAATTCTCTAGTCAAGATATGAATTTTCTTTTGTATTATTATTAAGAGTTCATCGGAATCAGAACTTGCATTACGAGCTAAAAAACATGAAATGCAATTAACGGCTTTAACAGAAAATTTAGCTACTTTAAGAAGTGAAATTAGAATTGCAAATGAAAAGTTATCAAATTTTGAACAAATTAAATCAGATAAAGCTGGTTTGTTTATTTAAAAATACAGTTGTTATATAGTATTATCTTCGGCGTTCTATGTATAATAATAGATATTGAAGCACGTTTATCGATCAGTCAGGATGAACGTCGTTCTCTATTAGAAAGATCATTAGCGAGTGAAAGTAAAAATGATAAACTTATATTTGAAAATGGTCAATTAACAAAGAAGAATACGGAGTTGGACGCAGCTCTACAAGAAATAGCACGAGAATATCAAGTTCTTCAAGTAAGCAATTGAACTTTTCTTTAGTTGAATTTTTTTGTTAAATTTAATTTAGATTCAAAAAAATAAAATAACACAACGTCGATGGTTAAATGATGATGATGTCGATTTATGTATGAAATGTAATGAAACATTTTCAGTTACACAACGTAAACATCATTGTCGAAATTGTGGAAATATATTTTGTGATAGCTGTTCATCTAAAACCGCTATTGTTGCAGCATCATCAAAGAAACCACAAAGGGTTTGTGATCACTGTTATAAAGACTTGACTTCTTAAAGTCGAAAAGTTCATTTATTTTTTATGTTTATCTTTTTTTACGTTTCCTCTCTTTGCAATTTAATAAATCTAATCCAAATAGGATTCTATCGAATATCAATTCGGACCTTTCGATACACACAAGAGGATGCGTATCAGTGAAAGGAGACAACGTTCTGCTCTTTATTTCGTTCTCTACAATTAAAAAATTATGACGCATATTTATGAATGTTTCGTTTAGTTTTTAATTTCGCTTGTAATATCTAAAGCAAATACAATGTTACTCCAAGAGCGCCTTATAATTCCGTTTGTTCTTCCACGTGCAGTCTGAAGGTCGATATCGATTAGATAGTCATTTTATCTAGTTATACAACGCAGCCACGTCCTATTCATAGCAGGAACGATCGGTACAACATGAAAAGAATTTTTCTAAACAACTAACAATTCCCTTGAAGTAGTCCTAAGCTCGATAAACTAGAGAAAAGAATCGGTCCCATTCGTAACAATAAAAGTTCATCAATTCAAAGAACAATGACAGTAGATCTGTGCTATAGTTTGTTGCTTAACATTTAACTTCTGATGTCCTTTTATTGCTCTTCAAAAATTGAGACATAATATGTAACTTAAAGAAAAACTGTTGTTTAATGAATGATGTTATCGAGCGATAGCTCTCCATTTTGTTTTTTTCTTTCTTTAAAAAAAATCGTAACGTTATATACTCCATTGCCTACAAGCATTTAAATGATGAATAACAATAATGAACGTTTTATTTAATTGCTAGTAATCGTTCTTGTTGTTGGTATTTCGACTTGCGGTTTAATCACTGTTCCTCGTCGTATTTCACCCCAACCAATTAAACGAAAATTTTTATCAACACGACGACTTAAAGCAATCTTTTCAGATACTTCAGTACAGACTGGATTTGTCAATTGAATTTTAGCCAAATCATCTTTTATTGCTAAGACTCGTCCACCGGTACTCAAAGATCCAATATTAACCATTAACATTTCGTTTTTTGTTAATTTAGCAACCTGAAAAACAACAATTAAATCGAGTATTAACTCGGCGAAGAATGTTTTTTTAAACCGACCTTAGCTCCTTTTTTATCACCTTCAGTGCGAACCCCAACAAGACGTCGAAGAAGAAAATAAGTTATTTGAATTTCAGTATAAATTTCTGGTAATGCTCCAACTTCACCAAGTACTTGACCAACAAGACGATCAGCACGACATAAGGTTGGATCGATTTTTGTTCCTACACCGATAAGTCCGCCAGGTACAGCATAAGCAAGATCGTTAAGTTCAGCATAGAGTGAAACAATTTTTGAAAGAAGTGGACGACATTGAAGACGACCTTCATTATCTTTTGATACAATACCCGGTCGAACTTCAATTTCTTGGCCAATCTGAAATAGATGAGTTTTTGTTTTGTTATCGAAACTGATTTGCATTTCGTGAAAAATAAATTTTGCATACTTTCAGTACACCTTTCAATATACTGCCACCAGCTACTCCGCCTTTTAACTCATCAACTTCAGCACCGGGCTTATTAACATCAAACGATCGAATAACTAAGCAAAATTAAAATGATAAAAAGATCTCTTTCAACTTTCTGAAGTTTTCCTTACCAATTAATCTTGGTTTTGATGTAAAATCTCGTATCGGTACAGGAATTTTTCTTGAGATATATTCGCAAATAACTTCAATATTGTATTTAAGTTGTGCACTAATCGGAATAATTGGGGCACCTTCGGCATTTGTGCCTAAATAATGAAAAATTTTTCTTTTCTAACAAACTAAACTAGAGGGGAAGATGTTAATTGAAACCTTTTACAAAATCAATAATTTGTTGATATTGTTCTTTTGCTTGAACTTCTTTAACAAGATCAATTTTATTTTGTAATACCAATATTGAGTTTAATTTCATTATACCAATAGCTGCTAAATGTTCAGATGTTTGTGGTTGTGGACAAGTTTCATTTGCAGCTAAAAGAAAATATTGCATATACAAATATGTAATCTGTTGGATCTATACGAATAGGAGACGTAAATGTGCAGAGAACCAGAAACTTTACTTACCAATCAGTAGAAGAGCAGCATCCATAACAGCGGCACCGTTCAACATAGTTGCCATCAGAATATCGTGACCAGGACAATCAACAAAGGATACATGTCGAATAAGACGAAATTGACCACCACACCCTGTTCGATCACATGGAAATACATCTTCTTTACTTGAACCAGCAGAACGGAAACGATCTGGTCGTGGACATTTTTCATTGTCACATTCAAATATCTATTTTTTGAACAATTGAAAAATTTATTAAACAAAAACACTGATATTTTCGTTTTTATATTTACCTTAGCATTAGCATAACCTAGTTTAATTGTAATATTACGTTCTTTTTCATTTTTGAATCGAACCGTTAATACACCAGATAATGATTTAACAACGGTCGATTTACCATGTGCTACATGACCAATCGTACCAATATTAATTGTAGCTTGTCGACTAATAACTTCAGGTGTCAATGGTGTCAGCTGACTTATGTTCTACAGAAGAAAAATCTATTAGAAAAAAAAGAATCCTTCTATTAATATTATAAACCATGTCAGCTATGGATTGTTTTGCCAAGTGAGGTTGGCCACTCGTTTCATATGCAAGCATGATTATATTATTTTGATGTTGGATTCTTTTGAATTGCCGTTTAGATCAAAGATCTGAAAACAAAAAATTCTAATGATGAAATTCACTTATATGCCTATGGATTCGATGGAATCTTTGCATCAGCAAATCTGTTCAGGGTGATGAAATAGTCTCGAAGAAAACATATATATATAAGTACAGTTTGACGTAATTATACCAAGATCGCCATTGCATTATAATGCACTGTGCCTTTAATTCAGAACGAATGCAAAACGAAAGAGGGCGCTCAATGACGATTGGATATATACAAATCGTGTGCGGTACATGGATACAAATCGGTTAATAAGGAAATTGACTATAGGAATAGCATGTCTGATGAATCGTATCTTGTTGATATATCGATTGACTTTGCTTTTATTCAATTAGCAAAAATAAATACCTTTTTCATTTTATTTTTCTCTTCGAACGAGCTTCTTTCGGTCTGTTTCTTTTTATTTATTTCTCTAAACTGGAACCGACTTTGATTTCATTGGCTGTTTGCAAACTTTCAACAATCTACATCTTGCAAGAGCCATCAGCTCTTTGAATATTTATCTCTACATCAATAAATAATTGTCTCTTCCACTTCAACAACAATCGACAGCTGTCTTATTGTTTTGTCTAGTAGGTTAAGACAGAATGGAATATTTTATTCGATTCATGACTGACAATATTGATATTGTCTTTTTTTTAGGGTGAATGAGTTCAAAATCGATGTCGATCAATAAAATAAACGTCAAGTTCAAGTCAATAATATTTAAGAGAAAAGTGAAAAGAACGGTGTCGGTCGATGTTTTGCTAAAAACGCATCGTTTGTAAAAAAAAAATGAAAGCATATAAAAGTATCATCGATAAACACACATGAAGAACTAACGATGATAAGAAGTTTTGGACTCTGCATGCTTCGTCAGTATTATAATACACTCGAATATCAACGATAACAATACAAAAACAACGTTTCATTTACATAAAAATACATCAATATAAGAGCATTTTGCTGTTTTATAGTATAAATTACATCCGGTTTTCTCGCTAACAAATCATTATTTCATAGATGTCAGAATATATCTCTACTATCAGCTGATCACGATCGTCATTGTAGTGGCATGTATTTATGTCCAATGACTGATAGATGTAGAAGAGTGACGGGAATATCGCTGGACAAAATGAATTGCTTATCTCTTTACTCCTTCATTTTTTTTCTCATTCTTTTGGTAGATTTAGTTTTGTCTTTTGTTTTATTTTTTTTTTGGCATTTTTTTGTTATTAAAAACACATAGATAAATATAAACGGTGCCATGGCGAACCAGGGCCCGTATAATTATTCATATATTTTTAAATATATAATTATCGGTGATATGGGTGTTGGTAAAAGTTGTTTACTTCATCAATTTACAGAGAAAAAAGTTTGTTTTATAATTATTTCAAATGTTTTCTTACCTCGTGTTTTGGGTTTTTTAACAAAAAAATATAGTTCATGGCCGATTGTCCGCATACGATTGGTGTAGAATTTGGCACACGTATTATTGAAGTTAATGGACAAAAGATCAAACTACAGATATGGTAAATGTTTGATAGAAATATTATTTATGTTTTTTCTGTTGTAATTTCTAGGGATACTGCTGGACAAGAACGTTTTCGTGCAGTAACACGTAAGTTTTTATTATTATCGTGTATCATTATTATGTTTGTTTCTGTTTTTCTGTCAAGGTTCTTATTATCGTGGAGCTGCTGGAGCTTTAATGGTTTATGACATAACTCGTCGTTCCACTTACAATCATTTAAGCGGGTGGCTTACTGATGCAAGAAGTCTTACAAATCCAAATACAGTTATTTTTCTTATCGGTAAAAATATGAAATTAAAGTTCTTGAATGAGTTTTTTGTTGCCTTGTTTTCAGGTAATAAAGGTGATTTAGATGGTCAGCGTGAAGTAACCTTTGATGAAGCTAAACGATTTGCTGAAGAGAATGATTTATTGTTTCTTGAAACATCAGCTAAAACAGGAGATCATGTTGAAGATGCATTTATTGACGCAGCAAGAAAAATCTATCAAAATATTCAAGATGGTTCACTTGATTTAGGTGAACCAACTGTATCACAGAGACCAATTGTACCAACTGGGTCAGATGGAACTGGACAAGGGGGTGATTCTAAATGTCAATGTTAAAAAGATATTTCTTTATTATTATTATTATTATTATTATTATTATTATTATTATTATTATTTAATAATATCGATAGAGAAAAAGATCATTCAAGAGATGATGTACTTATTCTCGCTCTCAAATCGATTCAAATTTCTTCTTCGTTTTTTTTTTACATTGTAATTGCCATTATTCTTCTTTTCTTTGCCTGTACATTGTTTGTGTGTGTGTGCTTTACTATTTCGTTTCATTCATAATCGTTTGTCTTCACGTCGTCATTGTCATTTCCAGAAACAAAGCATATACTATATTGTTATCATAAAATTCATAGAGCACACACACACATTCAACCACATATATATATATATATATATATATATAAGTATTGAAATATATATATATATATACATATAAATAAAAATTTATCTTTATTTATTCGGTGTTTTTAGATAAAATAGTAAATCTATTTTGTTTTTATTTCATTATTTTTGCAACATCGTTGAATGTCAGATTTTTACAAAAGATACTCTATTCTAAGATAATGACGATTTCGTTTGTAGAATCTCAGTGCACTAGATGATGTTCGGTAAACTTTAAAAATAATTCATTTATGCGGAATTCAACAGTAGATCTGTTCTTGTACCTGTTTCTCTCTTTCAATAGTATCATCATTTTTGTTTTTCGTACTTCTATTCGACAAACAGAATAAACAAGTTTGATGAAGTTTTTCTTTTGAGATTTTATTTTTATTATTTTCATTGAATTCACAACAATAACATATCCCTCCGGATGATGTGTCAAATTGAATATTTTATCATTCAATGATAATTTTGCTTTTTCCTTTTTATTGGTTTGTACAATATGTGATATAGTGCCCATGGTACACCACTAATGCTCAATAAAATGCTCAAGCCATCATGATGCTTTGAACTCATGTTTAACGGACTCGTAAAGTTGAATGAATGATCATATAGTCTCCAAGGAATTCTTTTCTTCATTGAATTTTGTGGGAGATATGAAATTTATAATTATGTTCTCGAATAATCTTCGTACTGAAGTTATTTTTCAGTCATTTTCTGTTTGTGAACGTCACGCATATCTTTTGAATTAGGATAAAAAAACAGCAGTTACGTGCCTTTTCTTTGAAATCAATAGTTTGCTAAGACCAACTAGAATTTAATTAAACTTGAATACAAACTAATTACGTCTGACTCTGTTCTCTTGACAGCTATGCACAGTGTAATACAATGAGAAAGCAATCGTTCTGATAGCAAAGAGCGAGAAAGTAAGAAGGTCAATATGATTTTCTTGAGAAATCTATTAGCACTACGAAATCATTGATGATCAAACAAATGAAGTATCATATACTTAAATGCTTCTTAACATTCATGATTTTATTCACACTTATCTGTAGATCGTTCTCTTTGGTTTGTCTTATCGTATCGTCCTGGTGCTTATGTTTTAATGTGTACAAAAAAAACGAATAAAGAAACTGACAGCACTTTCAGTAAAGAAGACAAACAAACAAACAAACAAACAAGTAAAGAAAAAAAAACCGAAGCAGTGGATGATTTTTGAAAGACAATAATTGTGTTTGATTTTCATACGGTGTTCTCGCATCATATAATATCAAATTCGTAAAAAACAATAAAGAAAAAAGCAAGCGAAAAAAAAACAAACAAACATTTATTCATCGTTGCAACTGCTCGAATCAAAGTTTAAAGTCGCATAAAACATAGATAAAAAAATCATCCGCTAGTCGTCATTTGATTACTGCTGCTGTTGTTGTTGTTGTTGTTGTTGTTGTTGTTTTGGAGCTTTAACGTTCTCATCGTGTCCTGTCATTGATGGTGAGTTAATAGGATGTTGACCACTACCACCACCACGTCGTGGATTGTTGGCATTACCACGATATCCTCCACGATTTCCACCACGATTACCGCCTCGTCCTGAAAAATTATTATTTCTTGGATTACCTTGTGGTCCATTGTTAGCATTTCCTTGATAACTTTTTTGTGTTTTGGGTTCGACATTTAAACGAATATTATTATACGTAACATGTTGTAAATCAACAACGTGTGTGACAATCTCTGGATCGTCAAAACTAACAAAGCCAAAACTACTCTACACGATTAAAAACAAAAGATTTTAAAATAATAATTTTTCTATCAAAATTCAACAAACCTTTTTCTTATCGTGCATTGGTGTTTGAATTTTAGCATCGGAAACGTTACCAAATTGTGAAAAACAATGAATTAAATCTTCGCGTGAAAAGTCGGCAGGTAATGATCCAACGAAGACTTGTAATTCGTTAGGAACATTGGTCATATTACCCCCTGGACGACGACCTGGACTTGGATCTTGTTGATTGTTTGTATTCCATTGATTACTACGATTATTTTGTGAATAATAATTACCATTACCACGTTGTTGATTATTTGCTCGAGCTGGAGCTGATTTAACAGCAGCTGAACGATTGACACTTGTTGCTTGTGGTGCTGGCATGGAAAGCGAACCAGTTGAACTTACAATCAATGTTGAACCTGTTGGTGCATTCAACTTAGCTACACCAGCATAGGAGGCTAGAAAAAAATTTTGTTTGGTTGTAATTTTCAAATTTTTCTGATTGATATTTACCTCCTTCGGTTGATACTGGTTTCGTTTGTTGTTGATTTTCTTGAACAATTTCTTGCTGTCGATTATATCCTGTTGTTTCATTAGTACTATTTCTAGAATAAAAATCATATTTCTCTTTTATTTTTTTATCATGTTGATTTTTTCTTTTAAATTTACAATGATGTTTCTTGTTGTTGAACTATTTGATTTGCAATAACCTGTGGTTGATTGTTAGCAACACGAGGTGGCAAAGGTTGATGTTGTTGTACTACTACTGGTAGTGATGGTGGTACTTCTTCTGGTACATCTCGTGTGCTAGCTGCAACGAATAATGGTTGTTGGATATTTGCAGCTGATGAATCGGCATTGGAAACCTTATCCTAAATTTAAAAAAAGGATTTATTTTCTGAATGTGAAGAATTTCATAGTTTTCTCTCTCTCTCTTCTGCTTACCGTATCACCATAATTTTGTGAACTTGAACGATCATCTTCATCAGAAACATCCTCAAAAACTTCATCTTGATATCGAAATATATCATTTTGTACGTAGAATTTTTTTGGTTGTCGTGGTGCCAATACGAATGTTTGCATGAAACGACGCATTGCATCACCATTATTAGACAGTTCCCCAGTAACTTGAACGACAACACCATTGCCAATAGTTGGATGTGAATCAACTTGACGAATTTTTGCATGACAATCTCGTAGATTGAGTTCATTAATTCGTCGAGCAATAGCCTCCGGACCAGTAGCCGTGCGTTCAATAGAACCTGGACGATCGACACCACCATGAATAAATGTACTATCCGTTGAATAAAATCTTTAGTGAATAAGAAAAAAATGAACAGCATTGTTAATAATGAAAAAATGAAATATACCGATGAAGTAATTCAGGAGCTTGATGTAATAGTGTATAGTATTGATGAACGAATGCACGACCCACCTATAAATGAATAAGCTTTCCAGTAAAGCAAAAACGAAGAAAATCAAAGCTTACATCAAATGGGCTAGGACTTGTTTGCACCATATTGTTATTTAAATTAAGAGACAGAATGGAATGAGATCTAGAAAAAAATTACATAAAAAAAAACAATATAAACATAACAATGAACAACAATGGACAAACGACGGATCGATGTATTACTAAGAACATGGAAGAAAAAAAGCTAGCAATAAAAATGAGAGGTTGACAAAACAAACGCCATGGCAGTACTCACAAAATACTTGTGCAGTAAAAATTTCACTAGATGTCACTATTGATCGACAATAGAAAATTTTATTTTAATAATTCTCGTATCTATACTGATCGGCGAGCTTGACGCCTCTGGAGTTTTGTCACTGTAAATATTTGTATTTATGTTAAAGATAAAGCACAAATAGAAAATGAATGATGATTCCCATAGAAACGTCATAAATAAATCATCTTTGAAATGTCTTATAAGATAGACAGACGATATTTTTTCTTTCGAATCGATGATTTGTCTCTTCTCACGCTGAAATAGACCGTTCTCTGAGCGTTGTTATAATAAAAATATTACTTTTTATATTCTCAAAAAAAAAGAACAATCATATTAATCAATAAACACAAATACAATTAGCAATACAGAGATGTCTTTAAAAGTTTCTTTCGTTCTCTAATTGAAATGAGACATGAATTGATCGAGTTCTCATTTTTTGACGACACGATTGTAAAGTAGAATACACAGAACATCGAGCCCGAAGGTATTTTATTCCGGGTGAACAGGTATAGGTTTCGTGTTGAATAAATGAAAAATTTTCTCGGCAAGATTATTTTTGGTCAAGAAAATAAAGTCTGAAAAAATCTATGTAACTCGCTAACAAGTGCCTCAATTGTGATAAGATACTTAGTCTTGTCAGTGTTTGTTTAACCTTGAAATTAGGTGTTCAAAACAAAGACTTGAAACGCACACATTTTCAGATGTCTATGTTAAAATAAGCCTCGGAGCTCGGCTTATGTGTATCGTACATGGAAAAAATAAGATAAAATAAGAGATAATTAAATTCAATCAATAGTGAGCATGTGAAAAAGTTCTTTTTAGGACAAGCTTTAGCATGCATAAATATGTACATATACACATATTATAGTTCATTTATCGAAAAGTTCGATCATCGAAAGCAAGACAAGTGACCGGTTTCTGATGGCCAATATATTCTTTTGCAACATTACCAGTCTCAGTCGACCATAGACGAGCTTTACCATCCGAACATACTAAAAATGAAATTTTCGAATAAAACATAAAGAAATAGGATACGATACGATACGAACCTGTTAGAAGAAAGACAGAATCCGATGTAAACGCACAATCCCACACCCAATTTTGTAATCGATCATGTTTTAATTCATATAGACAAGCAAGATCTGAAGTACGCCAAATTTTTGCTGTTCCATCAGCTGATGTAGTCGCTAGTAAACTGACAAAAAAGAACTAAACCGTTAGAGTTGTCAATGAAAACAATATGCACATACGTCATATCAGGTGAAAATAGACATTTTAATCCATAACGGTTGTGTGCAGGAAAATTCTTACGAGGAATAACACGCATTTGTGGAGAAAATCCAGTCATTGACCATATTTGACAATCACCCTATTTATTTCATAGATAAATTTGTTTTTTTTAAACAAAAATCACTCATTAAACAACTGATATTTACATTACTCGTAACAGCAGCCATCATGGAAGCATCGCGATTAATTGAAGCCGACCGAATTGCACTTGGATTATTTGCATCAATAATCTGCAATAGAAAATTGTATCATTTCTATGTCAAAAAAACAAAAAGACTTACATATCTCTCACATTTTTGCCATGTGTCGATTTTTTCATTGGTCAAATCCCAACGGAAGATTGTTCCATCTTGATCACCGACTAACAGTTCTGTCTATAGAAACATAAATAATGATATATTTATTGTTGATAGTAGAAATCAAACCTGATTCGGATGAAGTGTAACACAATTAACAGCAGCAGGAAAAGACATTTGTCGATGAGCTTTAGTTTTTGCTGCTCTATTTATTCAAACATAATTCGTTTCAACAAGATAATCTAATAATCAACGAACCTCATATCCCAAATTCTTACACAATGATCTTCACCACCGGAAAACATAAAATGTTTATCATCACTGAATCCTAATGTGACTATATTTTTCTGTAATTGATCAAGTTTCATTACTGGATTTGGATTGTTCGACATTAAATCATACATCTTTATATGTTGATAACTACCGGCGGCTAATAAAGTTTTCTGTGGATGTATCGCTAAACAATTCGTTGGCTAAATAAAAATAACGAAAAACCAAATCGTCTAGGTTTTTCATAGTAAAATTTCGTCATTATTCTTACTGAATCTTCATGCATGATTGTTCGATAGACAACTGCAGTATTAGCATGCCAAAAGCGTATCGTTCGATCATAACCAGCAGTTACTAATACAATATTATCGCTACTTAATGACATTGGATTTCGTTATAAATTAATGATGAGAGATATCTGTAAGTAGAAAATCAAATTCACAAAGGCTACTGTAAAAGAAACTATAACAATACACAGTAACATTTTTATATATGATATTAACGAAAAGAAGAATAAAAAAAAGCGTGAATCATGTTAACATTCAAGTGTATCATTGCTGGATGACTTTAATAGGTGCTTTGCTTTATCACTAAGTTTTCTCGAGAATGTTCGAGTATCTGGCGTTTTAATGCCCACAACAGGTGGCGGTGGTAGTTGTGGTAAATATAATTTATGAAGTATAAATTCTAATCCAAGACTGGCTAATTCATGATTTTTTTTATAACGTTGCATAGCAAATGTTTCTAATGTCGTCTTAAAACCGAATAATTCTCCTTTGGCAACAACTTTTTTTTCACATATTGTTCTTGTTTCATCCTCTTTATCAGGTCGATATGTACAAGTTTCTTCTACAGTCTAGAGAATAAATACATAAAAAACAAAATCTAAATCTTTAATTATTTACCATTAATGATTTCATATTGATATTCACTGTATTTGTTGTAAATATTTTCTCTTTTAAATCACATACAGATTCTTCAATAATAAATCCGATTGTTGAAGCTGAACCGCGATAAAATATGCGTTCACCCCATCGTGGTAATTTATTTGTTTTAGCTAATACACGTTTGGATATTAATTTTTGATCGTCAGTTACTGTTCGATAATATGTATCTTCAGATAAAATATGACCCCTAATATAATTTAAGCACCGTATTTCAAACAGGTTAAGAAAAACAAAAAACTGCATACGTATACGGATTTGGAAATTTTTGCCAAAAACCGCTCACAACCTGAGACCAAGGAAATGTATATAACCATTGACCAATATATGTCTTCACCATTTTTACTTTTATTAGTAGAAGTTTTATTTAATGAATTATGAGACCATAATTATTAATGGTAGGGATACATTAGCGAATCCCAAGCTATAGTTGATAGATGGTGCTGAGAGTTAGTGAAATTTGGGTGCACATATGCGGGGTACACAAGTTACAGGAATGCTCACACCAACACCCACGAAAGATCTTAAAAAGATTGAACAATGTAGATGTTCTCTATTCATTAATCGGAGTTGAAGGACTTGATCTCAAGCTTGATCTTCTAGCACAAGGTGTCGAATTCCATACAATGTTGAATGTCTTTATTTGGAAACAACAGCAACTATGGATCGTATTTTACGTGTCGGTCTCTTTATTCAAATCTTACACAACTCAAATTATTCAAATTTCGTGCAAATGTTTTTTTACCTTTTTGTACAGGTAAGTAACTTGTTTAATAGAAGATTGTGATATCTATTTGTATTTTATGTTTAGATGAATTACTTTTCCGATACAACTTCAAAAAACAAATTACAGATCTTACAATAACTGACCGCGGTGGTAAAGTAGGAAGGACAGATCAGACGACCAATGTAAATATCAAACTTTTTGATTTCTTTAAGAATTTACACTGTTTGACTTGTATTGGAATATCTTTTACTAAAAATCCAATTTTATCCTCTGTCGATTTACCATCAAATACGTTTGTTTCATCAAAGCTAACTAAATGATGTATTATTGTGGATACTTTTGGAGATTGCCTTCGTTTACTTGATGGTCGTCTCAATCAATTATCTACATTTATTGTTACTATCATTCATGTCAAAGACTGTTCATCGATGGAATTCAACTCAGTAGGTTACGAAGATTTATTCTTATTTTCATCTATGTGCTTTTTTGAAAATACATTTATGTTCGTATTTATAATTAACACCGATGACTTGAAGAAAATTAGAAGCAATTTTATTTTTTATTTTAAATCTTCTGTTTTACGTCTTTTATTTACCAAAAACTTCCTCAACATCCACCTCTCTTGTATAAATGCTATATCGAAATGAATAGTTATCAATTAATGTGTACCAAAGCATCATTTTAATGATATGATCATTTAAAATCTGCCTAGCTTTATAAATATTCTTGAAGGTAGATAGTCATGAGTCCATCGGATTTGACTTTGAAGATTTCTATTAGTCAGTTCCAGATCGAAAAATTTCTTTCTGAAAGTGATAAAAACTGATTATGTTGTATGTTTTAGAATGTTTTACATAATTTGAAATGTTTCTCATTGACATATCAATCTTTAACTAATGAGTATGATAATCAAGTTGTACGCTTTCTTCGTAAAATGTGTAATCTCCAAGATTTAACATTATATATTCAAATCAAGGAACGAAATAGACTTGTCAATGGTATTCAACTTGAAAATAACGTTCTTATTTATTTGTCAAAACTTCAAACATTCGGTTTTTATATCTGCACTTTTACTAGTGGTAATCACACGGCTACTTCTTTATCAAATGATGATAATCAACTAACTTTTTCTAATGTAAAATTTGGACGAGCTGGTTGTAGTATCAGTCATATCAATGAGTTTGATATCACATACAATGTTTTCTCACTTCCATTTAAATTTTAACGTATAGGATATACAAGAATGTTATTTTTTTATGTATATATGACACGATTGCATTCAAACATGAATATTTTGTTCGACTGGCTCGATGTTTTCCATTATTGGAAGCTTTATTCATTGCAAATTGATAAGCACAGCCAACAAATTCAGTTAAATCTAAACATGACAATAATGAATCATTTGAGGTTGTGCAATATCTTTATCTTACATCACTTGAATTTGACCGCGCACATATTGATTATGTTGAGCAAATGTTAAATGAATAAAAAACATGTTTACCTTACCTGAGAGAATTAGTGATGGATTATAATCAATTGAAAACTATAACAAATAAATTTACTAAAAATGCAACGAGACTTAATTGTATCAATGTGGAAGAATTAGTTTTTCACAGTTTTAGCAATCCTGATGGTAGCGATTATCGTTCGATAATAGCGCAAGCAAAAGATTTTCATGTTTATTTTCCGTCGTCGAAACATTCGTTTTTTGTAATTATTTGTGTATAACGAAATAAAGATTAAAAAATTCTGTCAAATCAAGTACTGGCTGCCATCGGGTTCAATAATTTCTGGAGTTAAAGCTAGCGATCTGTGATGAACTCCAAAACCTGGGTGTGAGTGTACGTGTCTGACATTTCCTCATCTCGGCAGCCAACACTGATCAAATGCATTAAATATAAAACATTGCTAGGTGATTTCTGTTTTGTAATGATATCATGTTTTTCATTTAGTAGACAACACGAATATTTATCTTAACGAACGCATAACTTTATGTTACAATCTAGACGAACTGTTATCAATCTATTGCTGTAAACGAGAACATAAGAACTTATCACCTACTGACTATAAAAGAAAATGCATTTTGTTTCCTGTCTAACATACGAATAGACACATGCTGATATGTCTCATGCGATGACACATACATATATATATATATATATAATTTCACCATACATAACAATATGCAAGTTATAATGCATTTCTGTTGTTCTTGTAAGCTGTCGGGTTCGGCTCTGTGTCGAGTCAGTTACGTCTATTACTGATTTGATAATTTTCAAATCTAATGGAATATGTTCAAAAGCTACCAAAAAAAAACGTAAAATAACTAAAAATACTAAAAAAAAATCAAAATGAAGTGAAAATGCAAAAATAAACATAAAATAAATTAAAACGCCAAAAAAAATCATAAAATAACTAAAAATACCAAAAACAAAATAAAACAATATACTTCGAAATATAGTTGACACTTTTAACGTTGCCAACGATTCTATAACATCAAATATGAAACTGCTTGCGCCATCCGACCCCGATATATTTTTTTCTCTTGTTCTTAGTTTCTACCTGTGTTTAGAATTCGTAAGTTTAGTTTTATTTGAGAAAAAATAAAGCAGATTGTAGTTTTTTAAATCAAATATTAAAGCATGTTTGAATTTTTTAAATCTTAATTTCAAAGATAAAAGATTCCTTGAAGCAATCTATTCAATAAAACTCAAACATTTAAACCTATTTATCGACCGAACGAAAGATGGTATCTTTCAATATAAATGATTTATTTGCATTAGAAAAAAATGTGTCATGATGTACTTTATGAAGAAATCACCCCTAGTCAACTCTCCCTAAAACGTTCCCTGGAAGTCAACATAAATTATCAGGCATTTCACAAGGAGTTTAGCGATTCTCAGGAGTCTCTAAGTCATTTAACTTTTGTTATCTCCTTGTGAACCGAAACTCATTTTTTCTAATCTGCCTCTTTCTAAGAGGATCTTCTGCCAAAGCCATTCAGTAAGCCACGTCTCAGTAGACAATTTTGGTGATTTAACAATCACCTGAAAATGATAAGTTATCGTTGAGAGAGTATTAGACAGCAGTTCAAATGATATTTACCACTTGGACAAAATTTGATGTGAAAACTTCCCAGGTCAATGATTCCGGAGGACGGATACTGTAGGAACCGGCCGGAAAGATGCGGAAAAATCACCGTATCTGGCCGGAAAGCACGGGAAAGTGCTGGAAACTGGAAGCAGTATTCCAGTTGGAAGTTACCGGATTTTTTTCCTGTGGATTCCGGTCAGTTTCCTGTGTTTTCCGGTCAGTTTTCTGTGTTTTACATCTGAAAGTTGATCGGAATCTACAGGAAGAAAATCCGGTAACTTCCAACTGGAATACTGCTTCCAGTTTCCAGCGCTTTCCTGTGCTTTCCGGCTGTTTCCCGCCGTACGTCCACGACCTGGGTTAACAATTATTTTTTCTAAATTTTCAGTTTCTTATATACTTTCAAAAGCGCTAAAGAAGACAGTGAATACATTCCTGCACTTTCTGATAAATCCCTCAGGGAGTCTCTAGGGATTTCTCAGTTTTTCGAGGACTCCTCCGGTGACTCAGTGAGGGAGAGTCGATATGGGACTAGGTGATATTCAAATTGTACTCGAATAAGAAATACGATGCGTAGCACTGCATTAGCAAGACTTTTAATCACTTCAAGTTTGAGTTATTGCATTCTCACTTGCTGATGAGTGAGATCACTTTAGTTTATTTTCAATCACTATGGAGGGATGTCATAATATCCGCAACTTGCGTATCGAGATGAATACCCAGATAGGATACCCAGCTAGGATACCCAGTTGGATGGATATCTACGTATCCCCAGAGCTGAGGAATTTGAGTGCATTTGGTGTAACAAGAATGGGTATCCATTTTTATATATCCCCAGAGCTGAGGAATTTGAGTGTATTCGGTGTAACGAGATTGGGTACCGGAAATTTTCCTACTGCCAGGTCCTACTTCAAACAAATTAATATAAGCCACAATTCAAATAACATACATGTGACGATCCACAACAACACCAACTACACAGCATGCTACAGTTTCAACCCGATTTCCTTGAGTGATTTTGATGAAAGTCGTAATAAATTGTTATCAGGTTAAAATGAAGTTCTTCAACGAACATTTACTTGGAATTCCACGCTATCTGCAATAGTCATTAAACAAATCTGTACGTATCGATAAACATTGGCATATGTCGACGATACCCAGTGTTAGGATATTATGACATCTCTGAATTTAAATTAACAATTTATGAAGAAAAGTTTAAATTCATACTGATTCATACTTGTATTGGTCGAATTTCTTGGATAATCCATAACTAGAAAATTATAACAGAACAATCGCGTGAGAAAAAATTGGAAATTAGATTTTAAAAATTAAAACTTACTTCTGATGGTGGAACACTGATGGCGGTTGAAGAAAATTTACTGAAATATTTTGCCGATAAGTAATTGGACCTTGAGCTGATGGGCGTCGTATCAATTCAGGTGGATTAGACTCAAGAAAAATTTCTCCACTATAGTTTGATATTGATGTTATGGCTCCAACCGATGCATCTACTAGACTATTGTTTATGCTATTCGCATCCGCTGATTCAGAGTGTTCATAGACACCGGTTGATAATAATGATGGAGAAAATTGATTTGCAGATGCTTGATCAATTTCTTCAAGTTTGAAATCACTTAGGTTTGACAAATTATTGATATTTATATTGTTAATTATCGGACGAATTTGATGTTGCTTGGTATTCATTATTTACATCTGTTACAATCGAAATGGATCCCAGGACTGAATTTACTAATTCTTCGGCTTGTTGCAATAGATATTGTACAGCAGAATTATTGTTAAATAAATTGGAATCCATTTTACAACGATGTTTCTGTTTCTAAATCTTATAGTCAAGAAAAAGTAGCTACTAATTCAAAAACGTAAAGATGCTATGTGTGTGTCGCGTTGACGAGTACAATGAAATAGGTTTTTATAAAAATAAAACTCAGCGATATTTAAATATCATGTTGTTCAACAATCAATAGTACATAATGATCGATCAAAGGATTAGAATGCAACCAATCGAGTTGAAAATAGTATCAATTATCGCACAGTAAACCACAACGATACATGGAATCGGCAACAAAGAGAAGATGGTAATTATCAAAAGTGTACATATATCTTTTTTTCTATAAGTACTCATTGTAAAAGTTTTATTGCTCTTTAGATCACCATAAAAATCATTTTTTCTATTTCACGTGTCACTTAAATCGAATAAAAGCACTTTATTTGCGCTTTATTATCATTGAATAATATCTTATATATTCCACGAGTGTGATTTATTATCGAATCATAGCTACATATTCTTATTCTAAAATTCAATAGAATAATCCGAGAAGATTACTGAACAGTTTTTGTTTGCGATAAACAATAGTTATTCAGTACGTTAGACATGATATCTATTTCAAAAACTAATTAGATACACGCTCACTGATGGCATATTAATGACAATCAAAAATATAATAGACCGTCATATATAATGAATATCAAGCAATTATATAGCAATACAACTATACGTAAAAGTCAAACGTTCATCTTGAATTATTAGAAACAACATGAAAACATATTTATCATTAAGACAATCATAAACATAGAAAAATCGATTTATATTGTCAAATATAGATGATGCTTATTTATTAATGAATTGATATGTAATAAATGTTCTAAACTACAAATTACAAACACACACACACACACTTTCCAGCCGTTCTACTGTTCATAAAATATCAACCAAAATAACTGCTTTGATTTAATGTGAGCAAAATGTCTTCAAGAAAGTCATGTCACCTAAATAAAGAAATATAATTAGAAGAAGAAGAAGAAAAAGTCAAAGATTCTTAAAAATATGCTGGTGTATAATTACCCTTTTCTAAACCTAAGCATGTACCCCATTCCTCAGATGAAATTTTATTATCATTATCTGTATCGCAATGATTCAAAAATGGTTGAATGCAGTGTTCAAGAACTTTGAGTGATCGAACGAAACGAGCTATTTCTTCATTATTAACCGAACTATATATATATATATAAAGTTAATTAAACAATATTATTGATTAAATTTATAAAAATAAAATAAAACTAATTCAACTTACTTATCATGTGTTCGATCAAGCTCACAGAATTCCCAAAGTACAGCATTACGCCACCATTTTTCTGTATTTGATAATTTCATTTTACGTGCTTCATTCACTAATACTTCATATTTAGCATCGAGATCTTTACGAACAAACTAAAGTATAATATTTCAATAGAATATTTGATATTTTCGGTTTATTTCAACAAACCAATGCATCGAGAATTTCTCCAAGCCATGTTGTCATTCGTTTTGGAAAAACTTCTAATTCGAATGCTGTACAAATGCCAAGATCTAAATTCAAATAATACAAAAGAAAAACATCAAGCTTTTCTTTTTTTTTTTTATCTCTCTCTTTACTTTGACATCGTCCAAAATAATCAATTGAATCTGAAACAGCTTCTTGACGTGTGCACCGTTCATCATTTCGACGGCACCAACATTGCATTTGATAGAATTCACAATCTGATGTATATGTATGATTAGCTTTTGTACATACCTAATTCAATATAATTTTATAATTAAATTGGTTTAGAATAAATAAATTTCTTTATTTTAATTTTTACCATTAAACGTTCATCTTTTGGATCTTCACATTGTGCAACACAAGCACATTCAGCATCACCATCTTTATTTAATATACATGTTTCACCATCACGACATTTTGTACTGGCACATCGATCTATATTGTTTGATTAAAAAAAACAATACATTCATTTCATGAGAATGTCAACAAAAACAAAGCAAATGAATATAAACCTTGAAAGTCATTTATGAGTTGTTCATTAACAATTTTTAATTCTTCATTCGGTACATATTTGACCTCAGATTCTGCCTAAATTAAATAAGAAAATGACATTGATACAGTCAAGGCAACATAGTTGTTCTATCTTACTACCTTGATGTGTCAACTCTCACATATTTCCGCTGAAATTATATCTAGCAACACCTACGCGTCATTATGAATACTTCTTCATGAGATAAATATATATATATATATATACGTATATAAACTCCATACGCCAACTGGTGTCATGTTCCCACATTGAGCAGAACATATCTTTGCATGCCCAAGAAAAATTATTAATTCATCTAGGAGTAGCTGTTACTATTTGTGTTTTATTGCATATGATGTAATAGATATAATTAACGATTGAGTACAAAATCATTTGTTTCAATAGTTTATTAAAGCTTTCTAAACAAATAATAATTACCTCAAGAGAATTTTCCTCTGACTATTTCTAAACTCTAAGTAAATATACTTCCGATATTTATCTTCTTCAACAGCTACCAACAGATGGTTAGATATTATCCGATATTTTCTTCAACTAATCTGTTTAGTTAACATTTCAGCTAGGGAAAAGCCACAATATACCACAGAACTCTTTTTTGTAGACATAATAATCAACAATTTTGTACTCCGATAATAGTGCCTAGGAGGTGAAAATCCGTTTGGTGCTTGATAAATTGTTTTTTTTTTCTATCGAGAAGGAACATATTTATTGTGCAGTTATCGTATATAGTAAGAATAGATAACTCGAAATAACATATGTATATGTTTTACTGATTTGCTGACTACGCATAAACTGGAGTGCTTAACCGCTATGTCGGGAATTCCAAGACAAAAACTGATTTCTGCATAAAAATATTCAATACCATATTTCAAGTTTGAACTTCGGATATTTTTTATAGAAATATACGTAAAAAAACAATGAGAAAATCACAAGCTTTCATTTTTGTGTACTCAAAAAGTGAGTACACTAGATTTGGTCAGTGTGTCCGGCCGTCCGGTCGTTTACACGATAACTCTTGAAAGCCTCATCCAATTGTCTTAAAATTTTGTACACAGAATGATCTCATCAATGTCTCAGTCGAGTTCGAAGATGAGAAGGATCCGTCAAGAAATGGCTGAGTTATCGAAAAAATTGTCATTATTGACCAGACCATCCTTGAGGAGGGTGTAACACCTTGATGAGGATCAGACACGCTACTAATAATAATGCCAGGTGCCACAGTATTGGTTATGGCAGAATGACAACAACGAAAATAGAATAGTATTGAATATTGGATGAAGATCCAATTGTTTATTCAATGAACAGAANTGTAGCATGCTGTGTAGTTGGTGTTGTTGTGGATCGTCACATGTATGTTATTTGAATTGTGGCTTATATTAATTTGTTTGAAGTAGGACCTGACAGTAGGAAAATTTCCGGCACCCAATCTCGTTACACCGAATGCATTCAAATTCCTCCCGTCTGAGGATATATAAAAATGGATACTCATTCTCGTTACACCAAATGCACTCAAATTCCTCAGCTCTGAGGATACGTAGATGTCCATCCAACTGGGTATCCTATCTGGGTATTCATCTCGATACACAAGTTGTGGATATTATAACATCCCTCTTTAAATTAGCCACCTGTTCCACCACCCCTTGTCATCCGACAACGTGCACCTCCACTTCGAACACCGGCTCCTCTTATTCTTCGAGAACGACCACTAAGAATTCTTGTTCCAATATCTTCAACGACGATCATAAAAAGGCTACCTCCAATATCTGTTACACCTCAATCCGTTATTGTTGAACGTTATCCTACAGCACCTGCACGACCTCATGATATTATCATTGAACGTTGATTAGCCTATTCTAAAGAACCTCAACAACGAAAACTCGTAACACATCATGCTCCACCATCTCGTCCTTATCCTACGCCACCCAATATTATCATTACGTACGAGTCAATACAAGCAAATGTTGTACGTTCAGTACAAAAATTCGGTGTTCAACCACAAAATCCTGATGAATATAGAATTCGATACGGTAATACATTATTAGATGCATCACCATTAATATCACAAGCACTCGATTTCGGTATTGTTGAAGATTTTGTCAGTAATCATAGTTACGTTATTTTTCTGTTATTATAGTTCATGTTTGATTTTGTTTTATAATAGAGTCCACTATCAAGTAATTATGACCAACAGTATCAGTTGAATAGTTCTGCGTACTATTTAAATAATGCTCAAACTATTTTTGAGCCACAATATGAATACGGAACAAGTTCATGGGGAAGTCAAACAGCAAATAACAATGAAAAAGTTGAAATTTATTGAACTAATCGTAAAATTTCTTTAATTGTTAATTTTTAAATCTAACCTTTTTCATTTTAGCTTACGAAGATACTCGTGTGACTCTGCAACATCTTGGATTTCCAATAGATTAAATCAGAGGGAATTCGTTTTTCTTTTAAGTAAAATTCAAAAGAGAAAACCTATATTTTGTTTCTCATTAATATCATATAATTATTTCAAAGTTCATTTTCGTATGATTTTAATTTTTATTATTGAAGGTGATGGTTTTAGCGCAGAAAAAAAAACATATACATACATAAAAAAGAATAATCATAATATAATTAATAAAATAATAAGCTAAAAATGGTGAATTTCTCTTAGTGTATAATGTATAATTCCAAAAAAGGTGGAAAAGTATAACTCTAAGATAAACGAATGAAATATGCATATTTTGTTGAACTATTAAAATAAGTAGGTACTTGAAACAACACAGATAAATCAGAAGGAGAAAAAGAAAAGCAAGATTAACCAGTGTTTCTGGATTCAAATATAAATATAAAACATTTTTATTGATTGTTTCTTAAATCAGTTTCACTAATTATTGATATGCCACCATTCGTTCCATATGATGTGCTATGATCGGTAATACACATTGTTCCAGTTGATAAAAATGATATTGCATATGGTTCGCGAATTGAATCACATTTATATTCTTCAACTATTGAATTTTTATCGATTGAAAGTAAACGATGATTAATTGCGTCAGGTAATAAGCATCTACTTGCACCATCAACATAAAACGAGTATGATTTCATGTTTATAGGTAGATTGAAACTATTTAGTTTTTTATTGTTATCATCTACTTGGCTAAATTCAAATCGATCTTTACAGCATGTCAATACAAATGATGTATTATCAGGAAAGTAATATGCTGCATACGGATAGACTTTGTCATGAACTCTTGATTGTGATAGATCAGAATTTTGCTGATGTTGACTGTTAAATGACCATTCGCCGATGTTCATTAGATTTTTGTCGAAGTACGCAATACGTTCACTGGATGGATCACATGCTAAATAGTCAGATAAACAATCACTTATCAAAACTATTTATTCTAGTTCAAATAAAATCTAAAAACAAAATGCCATTGAGACATACCTGCAATAATATTGGTCTCTGCAATATATTGAATGTTCCATGGATAAAATCCTGCAAGATTACTTTTTGCAACAATTTGGCTCGTATTTAAATCTAGAATAATAAGTTCCTTTCTGGTAGCAACAATGGCTTGTGATGGATTCGATGAATAATACGCAACAGCTTTTGGTGACGGTAAGTCTTTAAATATTTGATGAACGATACCATTTAAATCGATAAGTAAAAGTGAATTAGTAGAAAAATTTGCAACTAACAGACGATCATCATTTAATGTGCATAACCCTTTTGGTGCACCGAATCTTACTTGATTTTGTTCAAATGCACATGACAGATTCGATAAAAAATAATTATATTTGTATTTTTTCAAATCATAAATAAACGGTGTTACTGCATTTTCTCTACCGTCTATTTCTAATATTGATTGATTGGGTGACTCTGTTGTTTGATTCAAATTTATATTCATTGGTGATGATGAAGAATCATACTTAAATCAATTTTATCAAATAGATTTGATTAATATTGAAAACTTACTCCGATAGTTCCTTCTAATAATGGTTTTTCTTGCAGATTAATAATTGTTGAAGAAACATTTGGGAGACAAGGATCATACTGTTGATTTCCTGAAGCATATTCACCAGAGTTAACTATTTGTTCTTGCAATGTAACTGGTGCTTGAGTGCAAGGCGTTGGTATCATATTCGGGCCAACGCTAAGTGGTAAACATGCAACTATTTCTTCAGGATATTGTTGTATTAAATTAGGTGATTCAGATTGTTCAATAATCGGTTGTTGTTGTACAGCTGATATCATAATTTGTTGAGGATCAATAATCTAATATGAAAAATATAAAATCTAATGAACAGTTCGAAATTATATTTTTATTTACAGTTGATGTGTAAAATGCACTTTGCAACTGACGTTCCGTATAAACTTCGCATTCTGTTGGTCCATGATTTCCATTCAAAGCATCATCACTTGTATGGCCACTAATGTTAGTTCCACTATTCATTATCATTTTATCTAAAATCTATTGCGCATATACAAGTTAAATATCGTACTGAAGATAGTGACATCAATCATTTCCCGTTTAAATCGGTGTTTTTATTTTACTTCGTTGCTGTTTCACAAATCATTCTTTTATTTGCTTTATGGAAAGTAAATGTTTTAAAATAAATAGAATTACTTTTTTAAACTTTTTCATTGGCTTACGAGTAAAACCAATCCGAATTTCAAATAGAAGAATTCTCTTTTTTATTCCTTTTATTAAGTATACATTAAATAAAGAAAGATTATTTTACTGCTATTCGGTTTTTACTTCGCTTTGTTTAAATTATAAATCAATATGTTTTCTAATCCACTAACAACTGGATCAAAGCGACCAAGTTTACCGGTTGAAACTCCAGTTTCCAGTTGGAATGTAATAGTGTATCGAAAAACTGAACCTATTCATTCATTTCATTCGTATGATACATCACAAGCACAATATTTTCAACAAGGCTATGCATCATTTTATATTCAACTGCAACAATCAGCTGATCCATCATCAACTAATTCAAGTGTACTCTATTTACGATATCTAACACAATCGCAAAGGAATAGTGTTGATACATCTATACTTCCATTCACAATAAGTCTATTAGATGACTTGAAATTGTCACCAGAGACATCACCATCTTTAAGTGCAATGGGAACACAAGCTTCAAGATTTTATAATACTGAACAACAAAGTGTTCGTAAGTTTGAAAGAAGATTACTCGATTAGTTTTCTCAGATGATTATTCATCGATCAAAATACATCAAATTTTTGATGTAACAAATTTTAATTCATGTAGCTATGATATAACATTTTAGTAAAATTAAAATTTATGAAAGTTTTCATGTGAAATTTAATGGTTATAAATGTCGCCTGTAGTATGTGTACATTACAATTGACGGTTGAATGAAAATATTTAACGTAGTAAATTACCATTCATACAACTTCCGAAAGTGATAAATATCCATAACTGTGATCAATCATGCACAGAATTTCGTTTTGAAAATGATTACAACAACGAGGTTCACTTAGTTTTGTGCGTAGTGAAAGAGTTGATTTCAATGTGTGAATATTTTATCTAGTATATTGATATTCGAGAAGCTAGAAAAGTATAATTACTTAGGGTATACCGAAAGTTCTGGCCACGGTACTTCTTCCTCTTCTCTATTCACATTGGGATCAAAAATTCTGATCAGCCTAAAGTATATTCTGATAGCGCTTGAATTTCTCTATTTTATTATATTGTTGTCTACTGTCTGGTATTCATCTATTGCAAAACTAATTTGAGTACAATGAAGACATTCTCAATTGACAAGCATGCCTGCATGATACTCCAATTATTCTTCAGCACAAATACAAAAAAAAAGATAAAAGCNTAATTTTTTTAATAGAATTTTTGTTGAGATCTGACTTTAGAAATTTTTATATTGAGAATTATTCCTTGAATCTTTTTACAATGAGTTTTTATATAATTCAAATCTGTCTATCTTTTTAGCTATGGGGATATGGAGGCATTGAATTTATCTGAGAAATATTTCTTCTCTAGTCTGATTCATTGTAATATATTATCACGAACAGAAAAAAAAGAAAAATATATTTTTTCAATTAATTATTTTTTTCACGCATTCCAAGCTCAACTGAAATTCTCATGTTAACTCTGACATATATATATATATAATATATATAATATTCATGGTAATGAATATGTTTACAAATGTTTAAAAAGTCTTCACGTAGTTCTTGGTTAGAGTGTTTTCAATATTCAATGAATTTATTTTATAAAATAAAAGTAAATAATGATAGATATTGTTTTCTAATTTATCGAAATCTGATAGTTCAAAACTGTTGATAGATGACTCATCGAAAGATGTTGTTAAAATGCAAGATGATTCATATTTTTCGTGAGTGTATTTTCATTGAAAATAATTACGATCTTTAAAAGAAATATGCTCTAGGGCATCTACGACTTTTTGCTGTGTCAATAAATAATCTAGCTGTAAAAAAAATATTTGTTTTATAGAAATTAAAATCTTTTTCTTTCTTTTTCAAGGTATTAATGAACAATCTGAACATCCAACTGCATTTCTATTTCGTGCTAAAGCATTTCTTGGCATACTAGTATTGAACAATGTAACAAATAGCACCAATGGTAATAAATCATATTAGATTAAAATGAAATAGAAAAGAATGTTATTATCATTGTTTATAGCCGCTGCTATTATTCGTGCCTATATGATTTTTGTCACCGAAGAAACACCTATTGGACGATTGTTTGATGCTAATATTATTCGTATGAAGATTAAATGAAAATTTCCAATTCATTATTGTTATTTTGTGTAGGCATTTTACAAATTGCAGCTGTTCCTTTGCGTGACTGTCAAGAAGATGAAACTTATGTTTCTGGAATAAAGTAGTAAACCTTCGTTTTCGGACAATTCTTTTTCTTTTTATATTATTTATTTTTAATCCAGGAAATTATTTCAAGGAGGATGCTTCTATTATTCGAAGTACAGCAAACCTGAATCAAATTATAATAAACATTATTTCGATAAACCATACGATATTACATTATGTGCTCAACGAATGGAGCAAGGACATGATAGTGACATACGTTTTTTTTGGTTAGTTTATTTATTTACTGCATTTTTGAATGCGAAACATGAGAAGAACTGTCCTCAGTGTATGAATAGCTTTTATTGTTAACAAGTCTGAAAATGACACGAAGAGAATCGCATCTGATTTGGCTCGGAGAGTACATAACCGTTAGAGTAGTCATATATTCGTGTCAAGGGGGAAACGGCGAACTTGAAGTAGAAAAGTATGCCAAAGTACTTCAAAGTAGATTACTTCAAATAGCTCAAAGTAACTTTAAACCCAGAAGTTCACCGTTTCCCCCATGAGTCGTATATTTCAATTAAATAGTCAAGTGTTTCAAAGGATAAATGAGTGCAAGTTGTTAAAATACTTTTAATTCATATATACTACTTTATATGCAATAAGCGACATCCATAAAACAAACATAATATAGATATAATTTATATTTTGCATGAAAGTATTATTGAACGCAGATCAAAATTTTGTATCAGTTGTTTTTTTTATCGCATTATTGTTCCGATCGACTAAGAAAAATATATTTGTTGGAAATGAGTTTTATTAGAGTTCTATGTTTGGTAGCATCTTTGTAGTTATAATTAAGTTTTCAATTATGCGCTGGGTTAGATACATTTATTTTGTTTTCATATCGTTTGGAAACAACTTAATTGCTTTTACTCATAATTAGAAACAATCTACTGGCCTTTTATCACTATTGCATAGAATTTAAGTATGGTATTTCTAAACAATAAAACAAAATACTGGTGATTCATGACCCAATATTAGTGTCAGATTACGATTAGTCTAATCGAAAAAGGAGATTCTAGTTGAATACTATCTTATAAATAACACCCATCAGAATACAATACAAATAAATGCTGAAAGAGTCGTCTATAGACTTTGATCAAGACACGACAAAAGAAATAACTTTTCACACATCTCTAGGTCAATGGAAGAGTATGATATTAGATTCATTTTCTTCGTCATCAGACACCATTACAATCCAGAGCTCGAAAAAAACACTATTGGATATTTCTAAAAACAAAACGATCAGAGGTAGAAAGGTTATAAGGTTATAAGGTTAGACGATAAAAAATTTAAATATCTAGCCTTGTATTGACCATATTTTGTTCGATGAATGTAATAGAGAATCTAGGATTGTCAACTACCTTCAAGAGCATTTAATATTCACAAATGCTACAGTATTACATTCTGCATTTTATCTAATCGTCAATTTTAATTTATTGTCTGATTTCTAAATAATTAAAAGAAGTTCCTTTGTTGTAATGACACAACAGGTTGAATTTGATATTGTTCTCAATTGATTTATTAAACCTATCTATCTAATAGGAATAGCATTTATTTTGTCTTTGGTAATTAAATCTCAAAACAAACTTCATTTGCAAATTTTATTTGTTATTCAACAAATTGTTTTTTTTTCATTTTCAAGGAACCGTGGTTTATCTTTACCACTACTAAAATATAATATTGATATTCGATACTGGATACCTAAAGTAATGTGTGGAGGTATTGAAAACTTTCGAAGCCAGCATGATGATATTGATTTATGGTTAATATCAAGGTAGAGCCAATAGTTGATGTTAATATTTTTCTAAAACTGATCTTTATATTAGATTGAGTTGTGAACGAGCTGGTACACGATTTAATGTTCGTGGTGTTAACGATGATGGTGCAGTAGCAAATTTTGTTGAAACAGAACAGGTAATACATTCGATAGAAATGTTTTTTTTGTAACCTTTAATATAATTTGTTCTTAGATCGTTCTTATTCCTCAGCAACATAGTTATTCATCTTTTATTATTATTCGTGGTTCAATACCAATCTTTTGGCATCAACCACGATTTCAAGTAAGACTAGAAACAGGCGCTTCGTCTATCGATTAAAACCCTGCGTTTTATATTCTTTCATCTAACTGTTTTTTTGTTTTGGTTGTAAGTGGTCTAACGATATGAGATAACAGAGTTACACGCAATCTTTTTAGGCCTACTGAATAGAATCCTTATCTTTAATACATGGTCGCGTCTATGTAAAATATGCCATAAATGGCTAGTATTACTTGGTTTTGTCTATTAAAATGTTTTTGTTCTAATGCAAGCAAACATCATTTTCAGAATTAATATGCTAAAATACAGTGTAAACTATAGTTTGTTTGGAAAAAATTCCAACCAAATGTTACCCGTATAAGATACGGCTTGACATTTTTATAACAAAATATATTTATTTCTGGTACATTTTTACGTGCCAATACTGACTATGACCACAATAGTGCCACTTCGATCCTTCCATATTGGTATGTTAGGTTATTTAGCGTGAGATTAAAAGCATCTTCCATCTACTGAGATAATAGAGTACTTTGGATTGTGTTTTATTTAATAATCTTGTTTCGACGAACGAGCTTTTAAGTTAAATAATATCATAATATTGAAGATTTTTACTTTTTAAAACGTTGATATGCGCTATAACCTGTTCGAATCAATAAACAGCTTAATGAAAACGTTTTTTTTTAGAATAATATTAATGTAAGAAGGCTCCATTTAGTTTCTCGTAATCATATTCGAAATCAATATAGTTAGAGTTCTCTAGTTTTTGATGACAAAGAAATAAATCAATTGAAAACAGCATTTCCTCCAGAACAATAGAAATTTCTAATTCGAATATAATATCCTGTAAGCATTCACAGCAGCATTAATTTCGGTCTATACGAATAGAAGTGGCAGTATTCGAAATTAATTTATTAAATAAAATGAGAATACATATTTCGAATTTATTTCCATAAAGAGAATCGTAACAGATGTTTTTATTATATTTATTTTCTTTATACGCTCATGTATATTTTTTCTAGGTTGCTACACACCGTATCAATATATCTCGAAGCGAAGCGCTTAGTTATAAAGCTTTTTTCGAGTAAATAAATTCTTCATCCTATAGTCTAAAAGACAAAAAAAAACTTAATATTTCTTAGACATTTCAAACATCTCTATTGCCATTATGGTCGTTTACTCGTAATAAATTTAGTTGAACGACGTGATCATGAAAAACGAATTGGAAATGAATATAAAAATTTATTTGATTTACTTGTTAAAACATCGAGGCAAACACAAAATAGTCAACAATCATCCGTGAATCATTTAAATGAACGAGATTTCATTTGGTTTGATTATCATGAGCAATCACGCACAATTAAAAATTTCACAGCCGAACAATTCGTTCAAAAACTGTTTATTGAAAATGTAAATTATCCGATTAAAGAGAGACTGCATCAACAAGGGTTTTTTACTTGGATGAATGGTGCAAAATATAGCACACAAAAAGGAGTTTTTCGTATGAACTGTATCGATTGTCTTGATAGAACAAATAATGTACAATTAACCATCGGTTCCAATGTTTTATTCATGCAATTACAAGCTTTAAAGAAACAATGTAATTCGTATTATATATCAGATGGATTAAGAGGAATGTGGGTTAAAAATGGTGATCATATTAGTAGAATCTATACTGGTACCGGTGCATTGGGGCAAAGAAGTAAAGTAAGAATTTCTCATTTGCATCAATAATATATGATTTTATTATCTGATTGAAACATTTCTATTGGAGATGCGGATTGCACTGCAATTTAGAATTTCATAGTTTAAAATACGTGGATAAATGAGTCCATCACCCGCCTTAAAAAATTAAATCGGATCGAAAGAAACACGGGCCTTTATTTTTAGCGTTTTGAAGCAGATTACTGTTTATAAAAACATTTGTGTTTGAACTCTGTTAGGGTTGATATCTTCACTCTTCTCTTTATTGAGAAAAACGATAACTCCCTAGCTTAACAATAAACAAAAAGGAGAAAACAAACAATAGATAACGCACACATCTCTCCTCCTTCGAGAAGACAACACCGATAGATGTGGCGGATGACCAGATAGAAGAATACATGAAAAGAGAATAATAGTATGTGAGGGCATCAGCCCGTAACAAACTCCTTGAAGAATTTTGCGAGACAGCAGTTTGTCTTTACGCTGCAGTATATGAGCTTATAGCAATCTGCGACTTTTCAGCATTCAAACGAAGAAACTTTTGAATTTATTTTACTCAAATCAACTTCAAAGTAAAATTCATGTCAAAACCTAATATAATTAAATTATGTATATAGAAAAAACAGCTTCTACGATAGTTCAATATCATGTAGATCATCTTTGAGTTTAGTCATACTTATAAAAAAGATGAATATGAAATGGATACAATGTTTTACCTGAATTAAGTATACGATTTAACTATGAGAAGTTTTTTGTATCAGTTGATAAATTCTATTCGTACTGACTAATTAAAGTAAATATAATTTTTGACTCCATTGTTTGCTTTTTATTGCAAAAAATTAGAAAATAATTCAATTGCTATTATCATTTATAGGCAAAGGATATTCAGCGTAGTGTGGGTCGTGCAATACAAAATAATTTACGTGATGATGACAAACAACAATCAGTACAAACATTAATTTATTCATATTCAAAAGATTCTTATTTACACGAACGTTCTGTTGCTGCTCTTTTTACTCCTTACGTTATATGTAAGTTATTGCCTAAAGTAAAGATTGTTGATTTTGAAAATTAATTAAATCTATTCTCTAGCTGATGGTTTCATCTTAAATGAATTGTTTAAAATTCGTCGAAATTATACTCGAAAAGAAAAATTTCGTATATCGATTGGCACATGGAATATAAATGGAGATAAAAATCCAGCATTAGGACATCAATATCCATCTATTCTTGATGCTTGGCTATTTCATGGACCAGACAATATGTCAACAAACTTAAGAAAACCTAATGCAATTCAAACTAATGGTTTGTTTGAAGAGAAAATTTATTTCCCATTTATTTTTCTGAGCTTTATTTATAGGATATCTTGCGAGCGATTATGAGAAATCTAGTCCGGATATTGTAGCAATTGGTTTTCAAGAAATATGCGATTTAACAGCGTCGAATATAGTTTCAAAAAGGTGAAGACTCTTTGGCAAATAGAAGAATGTTTTTTTTTTACAAAATTTTTATTTAAATTAGTTCTTCTAATGCTAATCGTTGGGTTGAAAATGTAGAAGATTATTTCAAAAAAAATTATCAAGATACAGAATATATTCTACTCGGTATGGATCAACTGGTTGGTGTATGTTTAGCAATATTTATTCGACGAGATCTTGCACCATACGTCAAGTATATACATATATATGTGAAAGAAAACAGTTTTTTAAATAGTTATACTTGTTTTTTTATAGAAACGTTGGCATCGATACAGTTAAAACTGGAATGGGTGGTACATTAGGGAATAAAGGATGTGTAAGTATTTATTTCCGTGCTTTGTTGACAATTTAATATTGTTTTACCGGACGTACATGTCAACAAAATTATTGCGTACTAGAACATAGTGTTATTAAAATTGAGAAAATATTAGTCGATAAACAAATGATGACTGCGTTATTTTATTTGATGAAAACAGTATATCATCGGATCAGTAATCATATGTAGACATAACGATTCAAGTTGTAGTTTTATTACCAAAACAAACAATATGAATAAGTTTCGTGCTCAGAAAAATTAAAGGATATGCGAATGAATTATTCACCGAGGATATTTATCTACTCGTAAATTTTAATATGATATAGAAAAGCAGATGGTGATTTTATATGATATGTGATCAGCCAAGAAAATTCATCCTATATTTGTCCTTGTTCCAAAGTAAGTCTGATAGACTTTCGTTTCCTAATAATTTAAACAGATTCACAGTAGAATATTCTTCAAAACAACTGTAGTTTAGGACATGTTGACTATAGATTTATTTGATTCTTGGCCTAGATTGCAAAACTCCTTGATAGAATATTAACCTTTTGCAAATGTACTGAATAACTTGAAGTGCTTTCATAGTTTACTAGTCATTAGACGAACCGTACACTTAAAACACCTTTTCCGTTGATACTTTATAAACTAGTCGATGATATCATTTTATTGCTGATAAGAATGATCTTTAAATTCTAATCTAACAAAGTTTTAGGAGAAAGAAAGCTATTTATTGCATATGTCATGTTTCTTTTTGACTGTACGATAGTTGCTATGAAATACGTGGGCTCTTTTATAATCTTCTGAGCTACTACAACACTAGTGATACGCATTCGATTCAATTGTAAACACTTCAGTTGATACAAATTACGCAACATCTAGCCGAGATGTATTTTGTCTACAAGTAGAAAATATATCGAAGTTATAGTTGACTTTTTCAAACTTATCTAGGCTGACTTGCATGCTCTTCACAGGTACGCTAATGAAACCATAATGATATTTGATTAATCACTGATAGTTCATTAAGTTCTTTGTACGTAACATTGTATTAGTAGTGCCAGACTTTGATCTTCGATCTTCTTCGGTAATATTTTTGAAAATAGATATTCTAAGGTGCGAGGCCAAAGTAATCTTCTTTCTCGTCTTATTTTGTATTCAAACTGTATCATTAGATCAAGTTTTTTGAAGTAACCATCTAAAGTTAAAAAAAGAACTGAGCTGTTTCTTAATTGATTCTGATTTTAGTCCTGCTAATTTATTCATTGTCTGTTTTCTAGTTTTCACATTCTAACACTGAAGACGGTCATCAGAATTATGACTATTAGAATGTAGTTAGGAGTAGGGATAGATCGTTTAATTTAATACGAGTTAATTAACGGCGTTAATTAACTAAAAGCGTTAACCGTTGATATTAACGAATTAACGGTTTCAGTTAACGTTAAATTTAAATTAACGAAAACGTACCACCCCTAGTTAGGAGTACTGGTGTGGATTTCAGTCATTACTTCATTTCCATCCATGAGTGCATTCTTTTGGACGTGCTGAAATTCTACAATTTGAGTTTTCTCGTACTCACTTTCACCAGAGAAATTTAAATAAACTAGAAAACAAGTATAATAGTTTAGCCATTTACTATATGTGGAAAAATTGATGAGCACTACAATTTTCCTTTAGAAGCCTTCAATTCCTAGTTTGATTTTAAAAGTAAAGTAATGAACTATTTGAAAAGAACTTAACACATCAAACAAATTAATATTCGCTACGATATTCATATAAAAAGAAATGACAAATCTTATGATTCATTAAAATAACGATGTGCAAGATTAGATTTATTTTCTTAATAATAGAATTCCATAAATATTTTTTCGACTGATATAATTGACAGGTCAATTCACTAAAGATCATAGAAATTCTTGTTACAATGATTATTCTCCATGCTCCATATCTTGAATGGTAGCACTGGAACTGAAGAATAGCAAGTGTGACTTGAATACATTAGCGATGACAGCAGCTGATGATTTGCGGTTTCTGATAATAATAGAATGAGAAGAAATTCAAATGGCTTTTTGTCTGATGATACAAGACAGGAGAAAATGATTTTGAAATGCATGAAAACGATCTTTTATAGCAAGAAAATTTTGATGAAAAATACAATAGAAATCTGTATGATGCGACCTGATGATGCACCATACCATTTCTAAGCGTTTAGAATATGAGAAAGCAATTATTTGAATCGTGTCACGAGCTATGGATCGGAGAATCATCTATCTAAAGTAGATATCAAAACTATATTGAAATAGAATTTTTTTTAAATCTTGCAAAAATAATGAATATTGAAACTAGTTGCGTCATCTCTAACAACAGACGCAAAGATAATAGAAATGGTTTCTATTTCCATAGTTGACAAATTTAGTTTATTAGCTCTTGTCTTTATCGAGTTATTCAACGTAGACTTACTATCTTATTGGATCCCCATATTAATGAATTAAATAAAGAATAAAAATTAATCTTCTTCTTTTTTTCTACAAATAAACTATCTAATTAGTCCAGTCAAGCTGAATCAAAAATAATTTCCATAATTCGTAACAATATATTTCTGTTAGCATATTTTTCATTATTTATGAAAATTTACAGCAATTTTTTTTTCTCGGTTCTATTTTTAACTTGTTTGTCTGAGCTATTCTTTCTATTATGATTCTTTTTATGCAGATAACGACTTTTCTTTTGATAAAAATCTATTGTTTTATACTAAAATCAATATGTTACCACGTGAACAGTGTTCTTCTATGTGAAAATTTATTTTCTTTATCTCTTTAGGTTGCTATTCGTCTTGTGTTACACAATACTTCTATATGTTTTATATGCGCTCATTTTACAGCTGGGCAAAATGAATACAGCGAACGCAATAAAGACTATAAATTGATGATGGAAAAACTGTCCTTTCAACCGGTAAATTGTGTTTTTATTTTGGTTTATTTTCAATTCATATACATTTATGTATACAGCCATCACGAGCAATTTGGCATGATCATATATTCTTTTTGGGTGACTTTAACTATCGATTAACAATTCCACGTGCACAAGTTGAATATTTTGTTCGAAATGGATCTTATAAAGAATTACTCGAATATGATCAATTAAAAAAAGAACTCCAAGAAAAACGAGTCTGTTCATTTTTTCAAGTTAAAAAATTTTGAAAAAAAACGAAATATTGTTTTTTTTTGAAGGTTTTTCGTGATTTTGAAGAAGGTGAAATAAGATTTCCTCCAACATATAAATATGATATCGGTTCTGATGAATATGATACAAGCGAAAAAGCCCGTACACCATCATACACGGATCGTGTACTTTGGCGTACTACATGTCCTAATATTCAAATTAAACAGTTATACTATGGACGTGCTGAAGTTAAAACATCTGATCATCGTCCTGTTAGTTCAATATTTGATGCGGATGTTGAAATATGTGACGAGAAAAGACTCTATGAAGAATATGTTCAACTATATAGAAGACTTTCACCATCGAATGCGCTTATTAGATACGATATGGTTGCTAATTCAATTCAGACAAAGCAGCAAATAATTGATGAATTTGATTTATATATTAAAAAACGATATGGATCAGATATATCAATTGTTGATCGATTGTAAACAATTTTGTTTTTATGATCTTTTTTGAAGGTTACTCTTTGTTTCATTTTTAGTTTTGCTTCAAATCAAAGATATCTTTCGTTATATATGTTTTTTGAAAATGGTGAACATGTTCGAAGAGTTTTAGAGCCAAGAGAAGATCAAGTAAAGTAGCATTTAAGATTTTTGAATCACTTTTTACTTTATTCGACTAGATATAAACAAGAACAAGAATATAAAATCACTTTAAAAGAGTTTAAAATAAGATATGCAAAAATTTGTGGACAAAGAGTCTATGTTACAAATGTAAACTGTCAATTTCTATTGCAAATTCATTTGATTTTTTTATATCTTTTAGTAGTAATATCAACACGAGAATGAAAGACTCAGTCTAATTTTGTTTATTTTTGTCATTCAAAATTGTAAAGAATTTTTTTTAATGTGTAGAAGAGAAAGTTTGGATTCATCTGTTTCCCATGGGGAGTAGTATTCATATATAATAGAAACCTGTGTATCAGCTGCATCTCATTCTAATATAAGAAATGATTACTTATTCATTTTAAGAGAATAAAGTAAAACGATACTACAAGACTTGGTCTTAGAAGTGTTAACATTGAAAGCATATATTCAAAAGTATATATCATATAACATGGATTTTTGAACCAGAAATTCGTATTATATTTACTTAAAATTTCATAATAAACATCAAGACGTGGATTCTTTACAAATGCTATCTTATGAATTTAATTCAGTTCTACATAATGAAACTTTTTCTAACGGCATGATAAATTTAAAACCAATGACTCAACAGTACAAATAAAGGATTTTCAGTCAAAGTCGTATGGACAGCGTTTTAGGTAGTAGACGAATTTTTTACTCTTCATGCTATTCATTTCAAGCTTAACATTTAGCTTCTAGTCTGATAATTGAATTTTTCTTCTAATACGTATAATCTGTCAAATAAGAAAGAAGAAGTTGATTCAGAAAATTTTACCGCACTCCTAACAGAAAAATTAACAGACAAATTCTCTCGTGAATAGTCACTTTAGTTTCAATCATTTGAAATACAAATAAATACGAAATAAGTGTATTGTTGTCATTTTATGTATTTGAAAATAAGATTTTATTGAGAGAAATTTTGAAGTTTTTTAAGTTGTTTTTGTTTTTTATCTTAGCTTCAAAGTGGAATTTACTTCAAAAAAACCTTAATCGATTTAAATGAAGACGTAGCATTAGCAGAGAGATTAATCCTTTTTTTTACTGATGTTAATCAAACAATGGATCCAGAAACGATTAACTAGTAAACACACGCATGCTCTTTTGTTTCTCACATTCTACTGATTATATATTCGTAGTGATCTTGGTGCTTATCAACAACCAGCTCGTGAATCGCTTTCAACCAATCAAGATATTCCTGTAACTAGTGCCGGTAAGAAAATGTATTATATCTATTGTTTCTTTAGGCTTTTCTTGTGTCACGCTATTGTAATACGCTTTAAAAGCTCTACTACAAACTATATCTTACTTAATTTTAAAACTCACAATAGGAATCTATCCTATTTACTATTCATTAGGCTTATAAATACATCTCAATTAACTATCAATAAGAGAAAAATAACCTATGTATGGCATGTCTACTCAAAATTAAAGTATAAATTGCTTGCAACAAGTTTTTTGCATGAGAATACAAAACTCATAGACCAAAATCATCATGTTTATTCTGCCGTTCTAGTTGATCATGATGATGATTCTGCAATAGCAAACTTATCACAATTGATTCATATTAACAAACATGAACAAGCAAAAGACGATACTGAAACTGATCAGTTTGTGAAAGAACTATTTACGCTATGTCTACTCGATTCTAGCTACGCTAGTACTCGGGATTTGAATCAGAATGATTCTACAACAGATGATTTAAAAACTGATGATGATACTATGAATTCACCAAATAGCTCAAATAATAAATATCGATCACAATTGCTAAGACTTTATGCGAAACAACACATTCCGCATCGATCAAAAAATGATAATTATAAATAGAAATATCATTACATGAAAAAGCATTTTCTGAACAAATTCGTACAAACGACATTAACTACTTCTTAAAACAGGACAAAGGAAAAGACAAAAAATAATCAATACTCACTTTTAAATAATTACAAATATAAACGAAATAAAAATCAAATTTTCATTATGTTTTCAAAGTCTAATCTAGTATCTATATCGGTGATAGCAACTAATGACAAATTCATAAAATAGAAAATCAATAAGAAATCTGTATAAACAACTGATAAAAAATGCATGAATATTTTAACAGTCAATAAAAAAAAAACTTAACAAATATCAGTAACCTATATAGTTAGTTATAAAACTAACACCAACGAAAGACCTCACATTTCAAATAAACTCTTTGATTAAAATAAATTTTCTCTATAATTTCAATTTTAATTCAATGTATGCTTTTAAATATTCTTTTTCGCTATATAAATCAGCTTCTATCTCAAGTCTATAAAAATGATTAAGAGTATTTTGTAAATATAATTCATTTTCTTTTATTTCAGTTGCCGGTGACGAATTGATTTCGGCTAGTGGAAATGATACAGATGAAAACTATCGGGAAAATAATGTGGCTGAATTGATTTCATTTGATGCTGATCATCAAAGTTTAAGTAGTTCATCATCAAGCAATAATCTTCAAAGTCAATCCATCGATGTAAATAATTATAATAAAAAGAGAGAAATATTGAATAGATTTTCAAAATTTTAGCCATTATTTAATGAAAGTTGCTTTGGTCCATTTCATTTTTCTTCTCATCCAACATCAAATACTACGAGAACAAGTAAGTTACAATATGTTTTTCCTATAATAAAAACGAAAATTTTTCATTAGATGGTGATAATCTTTTTTCATTTGATCATCCCACGCCATCAGCCGGATCGAATTTTTATATCGATTCATTTGACATTGCTGAGCTGCCTTCTTCTCGTCAAGATGATTCAAAATTAAATTTATTTTCTCAACCGTTGACAAATTCAACATATTATGAAACTGATAATCATCGTAGTAAATTTTATTATCAAGCTCCACCTCAATTTATACCTACTCGGCCGCCACCACCAGTGCCTACTATTGCTTCTAATGCACCTGCTCCCATTCCTTCTCTTGATGTTCAACGTCTATTGACATTAAAAAATCTAAGTTTAAACCCAAATAATAATACTAATAATAGCAATGAGAAAATAAATGATTTGGTTGATTTAGGAGATCCAGGCTCGCCACCTCCTAGTCCTAAGTTCGATCCTTTTGGTTGATTATTTTTCTTTTAAAGATTCGAAACCCTGTATAGACATATTTATTTTTTCTTATATTCGAATTTCATTTCACCATGTTGATTCTTGTGATACGTGCTAGAATATCCACTATGTTACTTGTTACGTATCATTTTTGTTAACATCATTTGTGTGTGCATATGCATTCTTCTTAACTCGCACAGGTTAGTGCCTGATTTTTATTCAAATATTATTATATAGTGTATTTACTTATTTTTTTTTCTTAATATCATTCATGTATTTATGCGTGATTCTATGTACACACTAGTCCGAATAATATCATCCAGTCATTCCACATATCACTAAACAAAGAAAAACAAAATACTATTTTTAATTCTTTTCTTTCTTAAATTCATTTGCTCTTTAGGTTTCTTTGTTTTTTTTATTTGTAGATCACAACGGACAACAGTCCAATTAATTCAAAATGAAATTCGATACTTTTCTCGCTACAATTAATGACTGGGGACGATTTCAAAAAGTGAAGTATACATTTATTTGTTTGACATATATGCTACCACCAATAATGGTCTATACATATACATTTACGGGTGCAGTGCCAAACCATCGATGTAAAAATCCTGACTCGATAGATAGAGATACATATAATAATGAATCAAATATTTTGTACAATTCAATGTATAAACCAACAAAGGAGCAATGCACAGGTTTAAATACAATATTATCAGTCAGTGACTGTCAACGTTGTTATATTCAATCGAAATCTAATAATCAAAATTCTGTGGATGTACAATTGCATAAATGTCAAAGCTTTGTTTATGACAAAAAATATTATAAGACAACATTAACAGAAGATGTAAACGTTTTTGAAAATAAGTACAATTACTTCTATTTTTACTTTCATTTTTAATAATAGTGGTCAATGGTTTGTGATCGCATTGACTTTCGATCAGCAGTGCAAATGATATTTTTCGCTGGCTATATGGTCGGCTCAATAGTCTTTGGCGTGTTGGCTGATAAGTAAAAAATTTTTAAAAATTAAGATCAAACGATTTTATTCTGTTTTAAACTAGATATGGTCGTCGTCCTATAATGAGTTTCAGTTTTATTTTAATGAGTGTATCAGGATTTGTATGTGCATTTGGCCCTCAACCAACATTTGGCTTTTGGCCATCATATATCATATTTGTGGTTGCACGATTTTTACTTGCTTGTTCAACGCGAGGAATTTCGGTATCAGGTTTTGTGCTTGGATCAGAACTCGGTAAAATTAATTTTTTTTAAAGTATAAAATCTTTTCATATTAGAAATTCATTTTAGTTGGACCAAGTAAACGTTTGCTAACTGGAATTGTCATTGAATATTTTTTTGCATTCGGACAATTCTTTCTTGTATTGTTCGCATATAATATTCGTACATGGAGATTTTTAACAGGAGCGATATCGTTGTTTACAGTACCATTTATATTCTTCTATTTGTAAGTTAAGCTTTGGTTTGAACAAAAATAAAGATAACATAATAAATATTTCATTTAGCATCTTACCAGAAAGTCCACGCTGGCTGATTAGTGACGGGCAGTTTGATAAAGCTGAAGCAATTTTACGTGGTATTGCTAAGACTAATAAGCGCCCATTTGATCAAGATGCTTATGAACAAGTTAAAGAAGAACAAAAAGTGGTTAGTTAAATCTTCTTATTTTAGCAATGAACTAATGGCAATTCTCACCTATACACCAAACTACGCCAAACAGGATGAAAATATAATAGAACAATGTTGATCTAAGATTCATTTCGGTTGTTTTTACCGATATGAAATCTATTTCAAGAAAGTAACTGACTTCTTTAAAAACATGACAAATCATGAGAACTAAACGTTTGTCGAATAAGAATTTCAACAACCACTTATGAATTCAAATCTCTTGATCTCAAGTGTCACTAATCTATTTTTTGTCGAATTAGCTATTTTCTTGAAATCATATCTCTGATCGAAACAGCAAAATCCAATCGAAGGCAATCACATATTTATCAAGTGCTCATCATGAATCTTTAGGTAGAGGGATAAAAACAAAATGGTATTTTAACCACGGTGTGTTTCCTATTTATTTTTCTTGTGAAACTTTAACTATCTAACTTAAATTCAGATAATAATTTTATACTCGTATCGATTGTTCTATCAAATACGTTCTGTAGTCAGATTTCATGTATAAACGATGATAATAAAATGTCTCGAAAATGCGCATAAAACTATTTTCAAATCCCAGAAGATTTTACCAAATCTGTATTTCAATAATATCATCTTCAATAGTGCGCCAAACTGTTGAATGAAATGAGTTTGTATGCTTTTAATTTGTTTCAGAAACATCGTCGAGCATACGATAGCTTCTATTTTTATTCCGAATTTTTCAAATTAAGCTCCAAGAAAGTCTCCTGCTACTTGAAAACTATTTTATACGAGTTTTTGACCAACTTCTCTATATTGGTGCATAGATAAAACGTTCACATGGAATATATTAGACAGAAAAATCGATTTTCTGTTAAAAGTATTATGTGAATTTGAGAAAAATGTTTTATATGACAAACACAAATTAAAAACAATACATAGTGGTTATCATTTTTCCAATTATCTGACATGTTCAGACTAGGACAAAGCTTTACGGTAGACCGATGCCGTGTCATACCTATCTTCCTGATATTATACTTACGTAATTATTTTTGTTTTCTTCAGAGCATGATGGATAAGCATAATCAAGAAGGTATATTAGGTTTATTCAAATCCAAAATTATGTTTTTGATTAGTATGAATCTATTTTTTCAATGGTATGAATCAGACATGAAGAAAAATATGAAAAAATTATTTTTTAATTTAAATTTCTATTTTTAGGCTCGTACAAAATTTAGTTTTTTATGGAGTCTCACAAAGTACAGGTAAGATTTATAAAATTGACGTAGATAAAAATTTAATAATGAAAATTTTTAAGGTTCATGGGGTGCAGATCCATATCTATCGTTTACGATTAGCGCAATAGTTGAATTACTCGCATATATCGGTGTACATGCCATACTTGATCGTGTTGGTCGTAAATTACCTTACTGTTTATTTGCTATACTCTTTGGCTTAGTTGCTTTAGCAGTTTTACCGATACAAAAATACATGAACGACGATAGTTCTGGTTTGTTCATTTTGGTTGAATACTTTTTTTTCTTTCGAATAAAAAATCTTTCGTTTCTTAGCTAAAACGATATTGATGTATACAATACAAGTTTCATTAAAATTTTTCGCATCAGCATCATATGCTATTATATATATTTATGCAAATGAACTTTTCCCAACAAATGTACGCAATACAGGCATGGGTATTTGTTCAATGATAGCACGTGTTGGAGCTATTATTGGAACCTATTGCAATGATTCATTAGTCAGTTTGTACTATTCATTCGAAACTTGTTAATTCCTTGTTTTTTAATAATAGACTCGTATCTGGATAAGTCTACCGGTGCTTCTTTATGGTATTGTTTCACTAATAGCTGCAGTATTAGCTTTAATGTTTCCTGAAACATTAAATAAACCATTGCCACAGACAGTTGCGGAAGCTGAAAAAATGTCAATGATTCGGTAAATAAATCACATAATTTTATTTGCTCTTTTTGACCTTCTTTTATTTACTTGTTTATTTGTTTATTTGTCCAATTAGTATTCGAATTGGAAAACCTCGAAGTACAAATACCGATGGCACTGAACGTGAAGATCAATCATTAGCAGGAAATAATGAAGATAGTACACTCAAAGATTTATTGCAAGGAGATAATATAGATGATCGTCATTTATAAACCAAAGACATGGCATAAAGATTTCATTTTTTTTCGAAAGGTTTTCTTTCTCAGATATTAATCATTCATTCTCATATGCGGATGTACACATGCATTTGTGTTTTCATTGGAACATCTTATTATTAGGCTTTTTTTTCTTCTTTTATTGTTGTTGTTGTTGTTGTGAAATCAACATTTTATGGATGGTGATTGCTTTTTGTACACCCCTTTTTTGTTTGAATGAAATGATTTAATAACTATTATTTCTTTTCTATTTAGCAAGCCTATGCTCAGTCTTTTTGCTTGTTGCATGTTCTTTAAAAACAAATAAAAACATATTTTACTCAAGCTATTGATTTAAACGTACAAATTATGTTTCATCTGTAAAGCCACTGATCCTACTTTATTCTTAGTTCTTACTAAAGCACGACATATGACCATGAATTACAGGGATAATTTTACAAAAGAATTAAAATATTTGAACATGTCTGTATCGTTGTCCGACCGCGAAATTCGAGGTTGCGAATATGCAAACATTGGCTGTATTTCACTTGTTATTATTATTATACGTATATATATATATACATATTCTCGCTCATTCCCTAGGAAAAATGCGTAAGCATCAAATTTCAATTACATGCAAAAATTTGACATTGTCCTCGTCGTTGTCGTTGTCGTTGACACTCGATCTGTGTGCATGAACATGGTACCACCATTATTCTTTTCTTTATGCTCATTTTATTGCCTATTTAAACATAAAGAAAAGGTTCAATGATTAAGTACAATGATATGATGCAATCAAAAGTAGTGATTCACAACAAATTCAGCCGAACTTTTGACCGAAAAATTGACAAAAAAAATGGAGGCTTCCTCTCTTTCTTCAGTATTTCTTTTTCTCTTTTCAACGACTAATTATATGCAGTTCAGGATATATGGAATACAATTACTTTTTGTATGAAGGTACTCTCTCTCTCTCTCTCTCTCTCTCTCTCTATATATATATATATATATGCGTGTGTGCCAACTGTTACTATTTTTTTCTTCTTTTTTTCTTTTTCTTCTTTTTTTAGTTTTAAGGAAGCATGTTGCCGAGAGAGCATTTGTGTCGTGTTGAGATACAAATTTTTTATTATGCTCTTTTCTTTACAAGCTGTCGAGCGACGAAATGTAAGAATAAAATAAAACACATTGTGTTTTTTACAATCCCAACGTTGAATGTGCGGAAGCCACAATTCAACGTCTATACCGCTAAAGAAACGTAAAAAGGAGAGAAGAAGCAAAAGAGAAAAAGAAAGAATTGACTGATGACGTAGTGAAATAAATTATCCTGAAGTCTACGATAGACTGACATCACTTTACCTTGTTTTCTTCATTGGTTTTAGTCTACGAGTAAATCAACGAAACTGGAACCGTCTCGCTTTTTTTCCATGAAGGTTCTTAAATTGGATATTGTCTTTTTTTTCTGTAGACCACAAACTCTTACTCATTTGGTTATAAGGGAATTCATCTTCCTTTGCACGTTTCTTTTGTCATCGCGGTAAGTGCATCTCCTTCTTCACCCCGGCCTCTTCCGTATCGTGCGGTTTTTTTTTCTTCAATGACACCTTTCAATATTTGTCGGCTCGGCTTCTTCTTTAGCGTGTATGTACCTTTGTTTTGCCTTGAAGTTAAATCACTTCTTAACCATTCTCGGTTTTGAACGCGGCAATATAAGAAGTAAAGTGAGTATCGCAATGAATAAAGGATGGATATTATTCTTATTTTTGTTGTTATTGCTTTGAAAAACAAGTGTTTATACCTTTAGTTGAATTTCTACATAGACTACACCCTTCTCTGTTCTTTATTTGTATATACGTAGTAATATATTCAACTGAGACATTGATAGAACAAGAAGAAGAAGAAGAAAAATAACATAGCTATACATATTAAAAACTGTTCGTCATGCTAATTTGCACTTTCGAGCACCACTAAAGGTTGCAAACACATACACGAATTTTACCTTTCCTGTATGTTTGTATATGTATGTCTTATCTGATTCGTAAGAGAAAGAAAGAAGAGGCCCCTGGATAGTTTCTTTATTCGAGTCGATCGAACAAAAGAACTCCTATATATATATATATATTTTACACCTACACACATACATACATACATACATATTTCTCTTTTGGCAAGTTGCTTGCTCTAAGACATCAAAAAGAGAAGAAAAATGTAGAAGAACACAACGACGACCAGTGATGATGATGATGTTGGTGGTGGTGATGGTGCGTTTGTTGTTGTTCTTCTTCGACGACGAGATATACCATGTAACACATTATACATACTTAACAGAGAAAAGGGTAGAGACGTACAGAAGAGGAAGAATAGAGAAGACAAAGTTTGTTTTCTTACTCTCTCTCTCTCTCTCTCGCTCTCTGTCTCTGTCTCCCATTTTCAAAAAATAAAATAAAACAGACACACAGAAAGACTGACTAGTTTTGTTTAGCTAACAGCGAGCACCTCCATCACTCGAGATCATGTTTCATCATTGACGTAGCCTTTTGTTGATAGCACTGTTCCGCATAGCTTTTATTGGTAAGTACTGATCTGGACAAAATCATAAATTTTTTTTTTCTTCTGTATGCTGAGAAATTACGTGCAATAATAAAGTTTTAAGTGTGCGTTAGTAATGTTAATTTGACTCGTTCATATAATGTACATATTCGTTCAACATTGTTTACATATCTTACGTTAATAATACATGTTTTTTTTTCTTCTTCTAGTCATTATCTAGCCGAGAACAATCGCATCATCTTTTATTTTCTTCTTCTTCTTCGCCTCTCTTTCGTTTTCTCCTATTTTTGAAATGGGACAATAAACGATAGGTACAAACCATAAGAACAAGTATTTATATCTTTCGTATTTTACAAAGAAGATCATTATCACTATGACTATTCGACAACAAAATGCTAATGAGGAGCTTGTTCATAAGCTTCGTTCAATGCTCAATGATTTACCAACACTTCGTACACGAGCACTAAAAAAATTAAAACATTGGCGAGAAGCAGCTATCAAAAGACTTCTTGAACGACAACGTGAACTTGAGAAAACTTTATTAGATAAATTTGAGCGACTTGAATTTGATACACAATTATTTGTTGAAAAAATTGAGCGTAAAAAAGCAAATCCACAACGACGATGGCAAAGCGAACCATTAGATTATCATAATAAAAGCGAAATTGATCGTATATCGACAAATTTACGATCAATTCGTAAAGAATTAGAACAATCAAAATTAATTTTAGCTGGTAATAAATTTGATGATGATATGAATGAATTACTAGCTGATGATTTTATACCAGCAAAATTAGCAAATATATCTCGTCGCAATGAAAATTCACCAACAAAAACTGCGGTACATAAAAGTTGTGAAAATAATGATCTTGGCTCAGAATTAAAACGAGTACTTGAAATATGTACAAGTCCACGACGTTCATCATCATCATTATCAGCCGATGAGGTAAGAAACCGAAGAACAAAAAGAATGTGCTCTTTTTTTGCTTTTAATTTAATTACCCAATATTTTGAATAATCATGAGAAGAAGAAAAAGAAAAAGAAAAACGAATAGATTTCATTACAAACACTTGAGTAATAGAAGAAGAGTGAAAAATAAACAAATTAATTCATTTTGCATATTTATATACTTCTTATTTTTGTTATGAGAATTTTCGATATGCTGGAACAAGTGCACTTGTAGTTGAGAATGATGAGCATAACGTCTATTTATTTAGTGTGCATGATTGCAAATTTCTTTCTTCATTTGTTTTTTTTTAAACGAACAGCGCATGATGGTAAGCCTGCACTTAAAGTATCGTGTATTCATACATATATGCACCTATTATTATTATTATTATTATTATTATTATTATTATATAATGATATGATTTGTTTGGGTAATTGGGGTTTCTTCTTTATTGCTTAAAGACCTTGCTTTTTAAATTGTATAATTTGTATGAAGGAGCATAAGTTTTGAAATAATATTATTGTCAATGAAAATTTTTCGATAAACACAACAAGGCATTTAAAATATATTTTATCGTCATCATATGAATATTCGATTAAGGTCATTTCACTTCATTCTTTTTTTTTTCTTTTCGTCGTTGATATATTTCTGTTCTGAAGTATTTAAATATGTTCATCGAAATTTATGTAGATGAAGTATGGTTTCATACTACCAAAACCTAAAGTATTATTAACAAAGAAGAAGAAGAAGAAGAAATTTGATGCACATCAACCAAATTTAGTCTCGAAAGCCAAGGTCAGTTTGTAATATACGAATGAATGATTTGGTGATGGGAGAATGTTATCATATCAGTTTCGTTTATATATCGACCTTTGTACATTCAAAAGGCTATTTTCGATAGATTGATCAATTTCGATCGTATCAATACTAGAGATGATTATGTAATGGGTATAGATTATAAATGTCCATATTGATTAAAATCGAAATGATATTAATACAAAAGAACGTAGTATTTTAATGGATGAACGAATAGCTATTGATTAGTGTAGTCAAAGATAATTACAGTCATTTTTTTTTTATAGTTATCACCATTACCATCTATTGACCATACCGAGTATTCGTATGACACGAAATCAAAACAGACAGCAACTAAAACAACTAAAACATTTCAACCAAAACCAGGTTCACAAACTGTAGGTATACAGAGACGCAGTTCGCGTACAATAACAAATGTTCCGATACAACAAACCAACATTTCAACAAATATCAATGATCAAAAAGATAAAAATGAAGCAAATAATAATCACAAATTATTTGCGTTCGAATCCTTTGATGATTCTATTCGACGTTTTCAACGGTTACGTGAAATAAGAAAACATTTACGAACAAAATATGACGATCGATCACAAAAGGTTTGATTTTAAAGAGGAAAAAAAAGAACATGAACAGTTGAAATTCTAAATCCTTTGATGTTTTCTTTTTCTTTATATTGAATCATCGTTTAGCAATCAGCTGAATCTATTCCAACAACATCAACAAATGCTATTGAAAATACTGAAGCAATATCTGATAATCGTACTGGATCTCAACAAAAACCAGTAGGCAATCTCAATCGTCCAATATCCAATGGTACTCATTCTATGCCATCAACACCCATAACTATTAAATCATCTATATCAGCAAATACCACAACAACAACAACGCCACCACGAAAAAATGGCGAAACTCGCCATACATTACTTGCACGTGAACCTGTTAGTATTCCAATTGAACGAGTGGGAAACATAACAAATTCTGATGTACTTGAGCTATATGATAAAGCAGTAAATAGCGTTCAAATAAGTAATGATGTTTTAAGTACACATGATCGCCGACATCGTTCAAGAACAGTTGAAGTAAATCAAGTTCAAGCTGTTGATAATCAGATATATGGATGCCCATCACAATCTAAAATTAAACAACAAACATATCATAGATCTGGATCACATAAACATCGTCATCAACGTTTATCATTTCGTCGTTTAAGCGAAGATACACAAGACAAACAATTACAATTACGACAAAATAATGATAATCATAATGATTCTTCGCAAAATAGTTCAAATGATGCATGGCTTGATATAGGACAAGATCATTGGACGAATCTATTAGAAAATGGTTGGAGACCAACAACGACTACGCCTGGTGTTAAACATATTACAATTCATGATTCCGGTTTAAACTTTTTTCCTTTAATAAAATCTATTCAAATTATTACGCTATTTTTCTTTGACGATTTTCAGATACTAATCATTGTCGGGGAAATAGAAAACAAAATCTCAATATAAAAACGATCGACCTTTATGAACAAATATCAAAAGCTGACTATATTTCATTGTTTGAACAACTGGAATTTGCTTACGGTCGTACAATCAATTTAGGCAATGAATTTTGGCGTTTCCTTGAAATCAATGGCAACCACCATTTGTGCCTTTATCATCAACTTAATAAGCAATTTATTATGTTTAAACCAGATGTTTCACTTTTATGTTTACCGTGGTCATACGATGGTATTATTGATGTATCATGGTCAAAAACAACAAATACATGGGTTGTTGCTACACAGACACAAATTGTAAGTTTTCTTCTGTTTTCTTTTTGGGAGGTATCTAAAAATAGCTCAATAAAATTTGTTTGTTTATAGATTATTTGCAATCATTCATTCAGTAAAATTCTTCAATCAATTGATATCACTGGTGATTGGCCTAAACGTATAACATCATGTCAATCATCTATTTTTCATACATATAAAATTCCATCATCTTCTTTAACATCTCCGTTGAGTTCATCTCTGAACTCGACGTCTCATAATGATCGTCCACAATTTCTACTTGAACGTTATGATTATAAATTAAATTCGATGGGTAAACATATTCTTGAATCATCAACAATATGGGATATTGAAGCAGACGATGTTACAGAACATTTAGCCATTTTATGTGATGTTGCTTTACTTATATTTGATTACCAATTAAATCTGCTAAAACAAATTGAAGTGACTGGATTTAAAGTAAGTACGGATCATTTTGGTGGTTGGATTATAGCAGATTACAATGCATCATGTATATGGCAAATAAGACGAAATGAATATCTAAAAGCAAATAAAATTTTACATGTTGAACGACCTTGGTCAGCTATAATTGATCAAAGTACATGGACATTAGTAACATTAAGTGAGACACAAAATCGTGCTAAACGTTTATTATTTTTCAATTTGAAAAATCTTCCTGTATCACTTTTAACAACAAATTCAACTCGATCACAATCTCAATTATCGATTTCGACATCATCTACAATGTCGAATTTATCAACATAAACAAATAAAACAGTTCAAAATTTTAGTTTTTTTTTTCTTTTTTTTATGTATGTATAAATATATCTATTTATCTGTAATACCGTTCTGCTCCATTTGGTTTTCTGTTTTTTTTAACGCCGTTGTTGTTGCTGTTCGATTACTATACCTCAAGAAATATTTCTATTATAGTTTATATAAACTGTATTTCAGCACCAACTATTTTCGAGTAATTTAAAAACATATGAATAACTATCAGCTATTGCACAAAACAAAAACAAGTTTTTAATATTGTTGTCATTCATGCAGAGCGCTACTCGAAATCTTAATAACAATCTATTATTGTTTTTCTTTGTGTAACACCAACTATCGATCGAGTATAAATATTTTCAAATAGCGATTTATATAATCAATAAAATTCTCTATCGAATTGACTACATATCAAGATTTCATTGAATATGCTAAATGAGAAATGTTTTAAATCTATGATTCTTATAACTTTCTCTGAGACAGTTAAAGCGAGTGAGAGAGAGAGAGAGAGAGAGAGAAAGAAAGAGAAGCAAATGTTCTTGGAAATTCGCTGAGAAGTACATATTTAAGAGTAAATTGTCTTTGTTCGACGTATAACAGTGTAAAAATGTGGTGGTTTATCTTTAATATTCAGAATTGTTTTTTTAGATAGTATGCTTTCTTTGACATGAAAACGGTAGTGATTAAGTTTTTAGTTAATTATGTTTAAATGAGCTTAATTGATCGGACTCATTTCTACCTAGTTAGAAGTAGTCATAAGCAAAGATAAGGTTTTCAACTGATATCAACTTTGATTTTGCGAGATCTTTCAAAATATCGAGCCACATCTGGCTGTATAATGTTGATAGGATCCATCTCGTTTTTGTTTTATGACAAGAAAGCAACATAGCAACTGATGATATTTAACTTGTTATTTTCAAATTCAAAAATAACGAAAGATCTGGGCGGCGATTCGATCTACATTTCCTCTATTTTCAAAAGCGTCCTATTTTTGTTCTATATTTTAATGAAAATTTCTATTTTTCCTATATTTTATCGAAGAAAGTAGAAAGTTTCCGAAAGCCTCTTAATTTTGCTATTGTCTTAAGACGAAACAAAAAAAACTTTTAATGTGTATAATCATGTGTTTTGGATAAATTCTTGTATTATAGTGACATTTGTTTTAAGCAATATTTTTCATTTCGCCTATTTAGTCGGCTGACTGAGAACTTGTTTAATACTCAGTACAAAATAAAAAATAGTTCAAAAGAAAAAAACATTCACAAAGCGATCATGTACTAGTTTCCGGTTTTTAGTCAAGTTTTAGTTAGATATAAAAGTTGTATATATATACCCCTGGAAAAAATAAGTTTCACTCTGTATTTTGAGGATGCTATTACCAAAAGAACATCTTTTTCTCAAAGTAGCGACATCTTCTGAAAGCTCGTGAAAGTTTACACCATCCTGTGAATATGCATTTTCATTTACACTTATTTATTACCAGAAAAAATTGAGTTATGATAAAATACAAAATAAACTTGTGGAAACTAATAAGCAATGAATGCTGATTATCAGGACAATAAAATTAGGTTGAGATTTTTTTGGGAAGTCATGTCCCGTAATTTGAAACACTTCCTTTAATTTATGAGAATAGTATTTGTCTTTTTCATGTATTTCTTTTTTTTTCAAAGTTTATGATGTACTTTGTTGCTCTTTATCGATTTGAGAAAACTTTTATAATGATCCTCGAACTAGTGACTTGTTTCAGTAGAAAAAAATGACATAAGGACTTTGGCTACGGTTGAACCGTTTATAACAGCTTCATTAAAACGATTTTCGAGCAGAGCAGTTAAGAAACAGTAAAACCATTCAGCAGAAACTATGTATAACACATCTTATATTTTTGACAACCTTGATGCTCTAAGGATTCCTATATTTTTAAAATAGTGCAACCGAAGGCCAGCGAAAGATTCATAACTTAAATTTATTCCTATTGTGACAAAACAAATGTAATCATAAAATATATCAATATTTATGACTGAATATTCAATCGTATATTCTGATTGCGATGATTTTGTCATAATTAAATAAAAACTTTCATTTTCAAAAACTGAAACATACATAATCTTTCTATAATTTTGATTTTTATTCGAATCTAGCTGCAACCATACACTTGATGCCTAGTTCAGAAACAACAAATGAAATGGATACATTATTCTAATATATGTTTTATTAATGTATTGGTTGTGATAGCACGCATGCTTTTGACAAATGAGTAATGATCTATGGCGGTCTGATAAAAGATTCTTTGTTATCTTATTTATTTAGAAAATATATTAACTATTAACATAGCAGCTGCGATAATAGAGAAAACTAAGAAATAACTACAACAATCTTTGTTTTTATTATACATGAATATAGTTCTGTGAAATCGATAAAAGTGAACAATCATTCATTAGAGAGCGACGTCATACAAGTTAAATTATTGTGAATAAAAAAAATTAAAAGAGAACATAGTAATCTTCACAACTGATTACAAGCAAACTTAACGACAATAAAATATCGTGTTATATTACTAAGCTTACATAAGATGTTCTCTCATTTTTATCGACAATTTATTGCTACTATATTTGAACGACCGTTTTGTATACATTCATTAAGCGTAGAAAGAATACTAAATGCAAGAGTGCCGTATTATCTACACGGTTCGTTATTAAAATATTAGTATCTTTGTGGCATTGGTATTATGCGATTATATATTAACATGACATATTTGTGAATGAGTAATTTAGTATGAAAATAAATAGTCATATTTTTTTTTTTCAAATCACAGGTTTTAGATTCAATGATAATTAGTATCGGAAGTCATAAATTTGAGAATAAATTCTTAATGCTTTCTATTTTTCATCGATTTTAGTTTGGTACCTTCAAATAGTAAAATCAATGGCAATTATTACTTTAGTAATATGTCAGTAAAAAAAAGTAATCTTGTGTTCCACTAATATAGAAATTTGATCTTGTTTTCGATTAATAAGCATCATATCAATCATAACTACTGCAAAAATAAACTCTGTAAAATGCCAAACATTATTTGTTTTGTGATATAGATTCACGAGTAGAATCGATAATTGCACCGCAATGCACAAAATCTACATGAAACTAAAGTTCACTAACAACTGGTTTCCTAGGTTTCGATAAAAAAGAATTTTTCGACATCTTGAACATCGAAATTCGATTGGATGAAACTAGTGATGACGTCATGAAGAATGCAACAGTAAGATGTGTTTAATTGATTGATTTCAGGTACTATAATCAGCAATAAAATGCGTTAATATCGACTAAAATGAATCGTCTAGCGCTTTATAAAACGAATAACAAATACTTCAAAAGAAATGAAAGACAGTCGAGATTGCAGTGTTTGAAACAGAATAACTATACTAAATATACCTACATATGAAACCAATCTGATTGTATCGATATCTGATTGTGTTTTATCGAACAAAAGCAAATGAGCTTCAGTTGATGAAACGAAGATAAAAACTATGAAGGAAAAATGTCATCCGTGCATTGTCTTAAAGAACTTTTATATCTGAAAAACTCTAGTTAGAAATTTTCTCATCTCAAAATTCTACTCTGCACTGCAGGTTTAAGTAGAGTGGGATTGACTTGTAAACCATATACTACGATTTCCTCTTAGATTATACTCTTTGCAATAGGACACTCACCCTGCTGCAATACTCGACAGGGTTACTCTGTACAGTTCTTCAATAGTTTGTTGTATTTGTCGTGGGAAGGTATATTTGTATGAAAGTGGAATCTTTGAATATAATTATAAATAACTTTTTCATTCTTTTCATCGCATACTTTTTCTTTTTCCTATCATTAAATAAATACTTCGGAACAAAAATTTTGATTGACTCATTCAAACAGATTTGCGAAATAAAAATCTTGAGCGTTTTTCTCTCAATTAAGAAGTGAATTAAGCTTGTTTCAAAAATTTTCTTTTTCTTTAATCTTCAAATACAAAAAATATCTACATTTATCTATGTACAATATACAAAACTTTTACTATTGTTCATTGTTTCTTTGAAATAATTATTTTGACATACTAGTGCTAAAATATTAAAAGAAAATCTCCAACAAAAAAAAAACGAATAACAAAACAAACCTACTGTGTATTCATTTGTTTTTTTTTCGAGTTGAGCACGTGTCGTAATATGGAATGCTTCAATACAAACTGCTTCTACAAGATCAACTGGCCATTTATTAGGTGTAATCATTGTTGGTTGTTGAGGAGTAGAAAATAAATGTAATGATGGTATACAATTGCGTGCAAGCTTCACTGAACATAAAGAAAACGAAGTTTTCGAAGAAGGCATTTTGATTTAGAAATAAACTAGGAATAACTATAACAATATAATCTTTTTTCCCGTTTTTCTTTTAAACTAGTAATCGTTTACCTCAATGAGGAATATTGGAATACTAAACAATAACGACATCTATTAAATATAGGACAATTCATAATGACACTGTATACTTTTTATATGAATCGATGTTGAAAACCGAATAATTCATTCATAGATAGATTTCGTGGTTAAATAAGGTTCGCAGATATAATTAGCTGTTGATCCATAATATATCGGATCTTGATGGAATTGATTTTTCTCGTTCTGTCTCTTTCTTTTTTCTTTGAGTCTTATTATAACGTTGCTGGCTCCAAATTTGTTCTACATGACTTTTCTCTACAGCTGACTAACATTCAGTTGCTTCCTACTATGTACTGCTACCATTACTACTATTACTACTACTACTATTCAACATACAGTACGCGAAACTTTAAATTAATTACCAGAAGTTATGTTTAGATTCATTTTCTTACGGTGAATAGAAGGTAAATGAATTAACACATTGTTTTTAATATTATGTCGATCAAAAAAGTTCGCTTTCGATGAAGTTCATCAATAGTCGAGTTCATTTGTGTATTGAAAACAAACTATCATTCTTTTTTTAATGTCTTAATGGAGATTTTTGTCTACCTAAACTACAATAGATATAAAATATCTGAATTCTTTTTCTATGACTTACCAACTAATATACTGATAGGTGAGAAAGTATTTCTGACACTGAGCAAAAGAATTTGTATTTCAGGGTAGAAGGTCGTATAAAGTAATTCTAGAATATTGACCATCTAAGGGTTTAACTTGAAGATTTCGATGGCAAACTATCCGATTTTGAAATATGATATGTGCATGATCTGTATGGAATGAAATATTTACATCTAAAATTATTCACTTTTTTTATATGTCGTAAGTCACCAGTTCCTGATTTCACAGGAAAAAAGGTTTTCTTCTTGATTAAAGTGAACATTTCAGCTCTATTTCGTCGTATATTTGAAAGTGATAATGCCATCGATATTTCTCTTGAGTTCTTTTCTTTTCTCTTGTATGTGAAACATATTTTTTCTTACGTAACTTGACGCGCTCTATTCAACTATAATAATAAAGGAAAAATAAGCCTTGGTTAAATTTACAATTCTTAGCACATTAGGTACACTTGAGATATCTCAAAGTACGAACATCTGAGTCTATACACGTCATGAGCAGCTCAACTTTTTAATTAGTTATTTGACCGATAAGACCTCTGATTTGACCCGAGGTTGTTGAATGATCTTGAGTTATAAGGCATATCATTCCATTGTTAGTAAACACATAGTGATTCATGAGGTGATGATTAAAGTGAAATATGCAAGATTAGCTTGAAAGATTCATTTTTTACAATTAGAATCGCCAAGAGAATTCGAGGAAAAAAGTAACAATGAAAGAAATCTACCATTTTGATATAAACTGATTAGTTTTCTTTTTCATAATGACATGGACTAATTTTATTACATTAGTCTCGTCCTGTTTTTACCAAACATTCAGACTTCCAGATTTCTATTCTCATTAATATAATTAATATATAAATCGTGTCCTCAATCGATACAAGTTCTATTAAAAATGGATAACTTTCAGGAAGCCTCCTCTCCACACAGAGTGATCATATCAACTATTTATGTTTATCAGACAGCTGTTCATACAATCAAACAAGACAAATACTAATATCTGACGACTCATGCCTACACACAATATATGCATCCATATATATATATATATATATATATAAGACGAGAGAGGGAGAGAGAGAGAGAGAGAGAGAGGGCAATCTACCAATTGATTAGATTCCCCATGATATTTCCCCATCTTCTTTTTCTCGTACGTTTCTTCATTTTTCTCCCATCTTTATTGTCCGTCTGAGTGCTACTTTGTGTATGTCTATTGGTTGTAGACTCGAACGACCAGTCGATTAGACACGGTCACTCTATAGACAGAGAAGAAAGAAAGAATGAAAATGGCATATGTAGAACACGCGCATTTTTCATCATCAACTTCACACATCACCGAGTGAAGACGGGTTTACATACACACATCAAGATAAATGACGTTTTTTTTTCTTTCTTTTTGTTGTTTATGTTTGCGTATATATTTACACGTTCAAGTAAAGACCGAGGAGGAGCCCAATGATGTCAATTGAATGACGCAGTCTGATATATGTTGTCTGGAGACTGTGCTGTAGAATGTCCAATTCTACCCATTCTCCTTCTATTTGAAAGAGAATCGAGGCATATTTTTTTAATGGCTTCTACTATTTTTCAAAATTTGAGGTGAATAAAAACAACTCATTTATTCATTCGTTCTCTATCTGTGGTTATTACTCAATTTCTATGTAATATAATTTGCGTAGTTGCTATTGTTTTTCATTACTCCACTCTTCGAATATTTTTAAAGACGTATCACTTTCTTTTCATACGTACGTCTCTTTGAGCAAAGTTGTATGTATGTCGTACTGACATGAGTAATATTATGAGATTACGATTATATATAGCTAAGCTACGCAAATGTACAATCTCATTTTAATTTATATATATAGTATTGTACGTTTCACTGATTTAGAAAAAAAAATGTATATTTACTATTATTAAACAGAAAACTTTCAATGGCGAATCAAAATGACCATGTATCAATTCACATGCCAAAATATGAGGTAAGAATTTGAATTTGTTTTTTATTTTTAATAAAATTGTTATTCTGATAATGTATAGACAACACCGATTCATTTTGTGACTCCAGCATATAATGTTTCAGTAGATATAGCTGAAATACAAAATTATATTCGTGAGGTATTAATAAAAAGATAATCCCTCTCGTATTCTTTATATACATATGGATTTTTATTGAATAGAAAGCAGAAAAGAATTTAAAACAATGTGAATCTTTTGAAGTATCATTACCACCATCAATTACTGGTATTACTGGTGAGTCAACAAAGGTAAGATAACGTTGGCATGATAGAATTATTGAGTAAATAATTTTTGATTTAGATTAAATTCAGCTCATTATTTCAAACTCCAACATTAAATGAGCTTGAAACCCTATCGACTAATGCTGATGGATCATCGAAAAAATTAAACGACGAACAACTTAAAGCAGTTTTACAAGCAGGGTAAATGCATATATATTTTTTTTCTTTTTCAATACTAATAATTAATATTATTATAAATTGTTTAATACAGAGAATTTGAAGTACATAGTATTCATTTTCCTGGCCAAAATCATCGATGGAAATTAAGTAAATTACTTCAATCGGGTGTTCAACCAGCCAATGATACGCTCTTTAAAGTTTGTCTTTTCTAAATAATTGTTGAATTTGCACATGATTTTAATATTGCTGTTATTTTTTTAGGAACTATCATGGGCAGTTTATATGCTTATAATATTTGCTCGAGATCGTGTTTTATCGAATTGCTTTAGTTTTAAAGCAGCTTTACGATCATGGAAGCAAGGTTTCGTTAGTTTAATAGGTAGGTTTACTTTTCTTTCTTTTTCTATGGAATTAATTTATAAAAAGCATTGTTTATCATAGATGCCCTTATTGGATTACCTGCAGTTGAGTCAGCTGGTATCGATTTACGAGTAGAAAATGAACGAAACAAATTTTTAGTTATTGAACTTTGTCCAAATGTAAAATTTAAAATATATTCAAAGCAAAAAAAATAGCGCTATTTTCTTTGTTCTTAATTAGGAAAGTGAAAAAGAAATGCACGAAGCATTCTGTGCACAAATACCAATTCTATTGGAAATGATGATTGAAAATGAGAAATATACACAACGGCAAGCAAAGGTATGACATTTGAATTGTCAAAGAAAAACATATATTGCTTTCAATGACATTGACTTCATTTTGTTTTTCGACGAGTGTCGTGAAAATAATTTGAAAAAATTCTATAAAGGCATCTAAAACTAAAATTTTGATAAAAGTGTTTTTACTTTTACAAAAAATAACTGGTAGCATTCAATATACAAAAATAATGCCCCAGATGTTTTGAATAGCAACAAAAAAAAACTAGCATGATATTTGCCACATTGAAGAGTCTCAGATTGTGCATAAAATAAATTGGATTGATCACACTGAATTGGCCTAATGTAAATGACATTTTCATCTTAGTGAAAGTCTGTCGTATCAAACAAATGGATATTTTCATACCTAACAAAATTGAGAACTTCACTCTAAAAAAAGAGTATCTTTATGCGAAAATCTAAATATTTATACATGAACATTGTATAAAACTATTACTCATACTCTGGGCGGCGATTCGATCTTGAGGGTGTGGGTTTTAGACTTCCTGCCAACGCTGCATCCCACACCCTCTAGTTTGACACCACCTACTATAAAATTCTGCCTATTCTGTTCTTCTAGAATTCTGCAAAATTCTACAATACTATGTATACTAATATCAAATCAATTCATATATATTTAGTCCACAATTCTTAAAATTCCAGAATTCTAGAATTTTAGAATAAGGCTACTGCTGGATATGTAACAGAATATAAAATATGAATAGTAAAAGATTGAAAAATCACATATAGCCTTAGCCTAATTTTATTCCTATTTTAATAGTAGCTTGAATAGAGATATTATTTTTTTTAGAATATTCCACCCCGTATGCTACCATATCCGCATCATTTTGTAACACCTAATAATATTGAAATTGATCTTCGATTACACAATAAAAATCTTCAAACAAAACTGAAATCAATTATTAGCTCGGTTCTGAGTAACAATACACCAAGAAGTTGGTTTATTGCAGCAAAAAGAAGATTAATTAATCAATATAGAAGTAAAAAACATTTTTCTCGTTGTACAAATTTTTCTTGTTTCTTTATAATTGTAGACGAGCAAAGTGAATTAGGTTTATCAAAAGAAGAAGTTGCTAAACGAGTTCAAACACAATTAAACGTTGAATATACTGAGCGAGCATTTGAAACTATTGAAAATTCTCGTGAAATCGAAAATCTATCACCTGGTCTTGGCCGTTTATTAGTTGCACAAGCTCGTGCTATATTAGTAATGAAATCAGTTGTTCAAAATTTAACTGAAGATTTAGAAAAACATCTTACAATGGTATTTTTCTTTTCTACTTATTCTATTAAATATTGATAGATTGAATTGAAAAAAACAACAACTTTAGATTAGAGAAAAACTAGTTAAAGAACATCCAATAAAATCGAAAATTAATCGTTGGATTGAGACAAAATTATTTGAAGAACGAATAAATTATATTCATCAACATGAATGGGATGCACATCAATTATCCATTGATCAGTGTAAAACATTAGGAAATCAACAAGCCGCATACTTTATTCAACGTGATTTAGCATTCAGACAAGATGTAATCAAAAAGAAGAATTTTCATACTCATACATGAAATTGTTTTTTGTTTATTTTAGCACGAATCAACTCTTCGTCTTAATCTTAAATCACCTGTTACACCTCAACGAACTATTGATTGCAGTCGAGCAATATGGTTTCGAAGTAAAATTAAATGAAGCATATTACCTGTTTTAAATTTTTTTTTCAGAAAATTGGATCATTGAACGAACATACCCATTACCTACTGAACGAATTCCAACCTTATTTGCGAAATACACTTATTCAAATGAAGAAGAAGAGAGACGACAACGCCTGATTAGTTCTGAAGTAATATACCGTTACATTTCGAATAGGTCTTTTTACACTAAGAACATGTTTTTATTCTCAGAAAATGCCTAACAATTTTCCATCATTTTAAAGGCATATATCAAATGTGATAAAAAAACCTTAAATCATTTTAGTTAGAGATATTTTTGCAAATTGTGTATGTTCAACTGAGAATGATTTTAAAGGTGGGATATCTGAGATGATCATTTAAGAGCATATTGCATCATCATACAACTATATGTCTCATCTACCATCGTTCTTACCATTGTCATCTATCATTGTCAGTATAATTCATTTCATGTTATAATGAAACACAGGATAAGACTAATACAATTATTCTTAAAGCGTTGCTGAGATCGTGTCGTAAACTCTTTCGGTATTAGAAAAGCATCTGTCCACATTTTTTTCTGTTTCTCACAGTGGAGGTTTTATTTTATTACATAATTAATATTGTTTTGTATTTGTAGCCTGAAGCACAATATAGCGTTCGACGAAAAATAACTTATTCAACAACAACAAGATATCCTTTTTGGAGATGGAAACTATTCGCACTTCGAACGTATTGCTGGCTTTCAAATGCTATTTATGGATTTTGTGTATGAAACAAATCATTGCAGTCCACGATTGATTGATTTTGTTTTTTATTTAGCTTGTTGTTCCATTTGGGAGTCCAGTTAGTTTCCGAGCTTTATTATCTCCGAAACCATTTCAACCGAATTATGAATTAAATAAAAATGATGTATGCCAAACAACAAAGATTTAGTAGAAGTTTTCTAAGCACTTCTTCTTTTCATTTAGTTAAAACTTCACGAATCGTCAAGTTCAAAAACACAAACATTTATTTCACGTCTTGTTGCTCTTTGGGGTAATGTGAGGCATTCAAGACAAAAATTTGAGCAAACACCCGATCGAGGTATGTAGACAAACAACTAAACTAGTGAGAGACAAGAAAAGACACTTATAACTTATGAAACAGAATGCCATCAAATAGAAATCTTGGTTCAAAATATGTAATGTACGCGCGAACATGTTCAACTGCGAGTTAGCTCTTTTGAGAATAAGTAAATCTGAACAGAAGTCGAACTTAGAACTTATTAACAATCATTCACAACTATTTTTCAATAAAATTTTACTCCGATGATGGTTTTTAAGAAATTTCGAATACAAAACCGTTTAACTAGCATTCTATTTTCTACAAGCACATTGAATAGCCATTAGACCGTTCTGAAAGTTTTGATGTTAATAATGATATTTGTCTTCAATTATTAAATATTTCTGTAGATAAAATTACAAGCGCAACGGGTCGTATTTTCGAATTTTTTGCGTGTTGTTCTATAATATAACGTGTTGCTTCATTAGCACACTAAACGATGTATAAACTATAACTCCTACGATCTTTATCAAAATTTTATACAGGAAATAAATATTTATCGGCTGAACATATTTTTCAGGATTAAATTTTATTCGAAACTAAATAATTTGATAAATAGGAAGCTCCTATTTTATAGACATAAAAGAATTAGCAAATGTATTTTAGTTAATAAAAACAGTTCAATTGTTTTTCTTCGTCTTTAGGATTCTTGGGAAAGAATATGCAAAGATTGTTCAATCGATTTTGGAACTACATAATAAAAGGTGCTCTCGGCACGGTTGCTGTGTGCACTGTTTATCCATTGGCTTGCTCAATTATTCCGACATTCTCTTTTATATTAGGTGTTCTTTCACCTATATGGTATATTTTGATAGTTATAAATGATCATTTTTGATTAACGATTTACGTTTAGGATGCCAATTCTTACATTATTATTTCATATACTTCAAATTCTTATCTATGACGCTAGTTCAGCTGGTAATAATTGATAAATTATAATAAGAACTATTCAGCAGCAATCTCTTATATTAAAATTTAGGTGAATATGGTCGAAAAATATTTTGTCTTATTAATATTGTTATAACTGATTTTATACTTTGTGGAATTGCACAACCAATATTAGTATTAATTGCATTAATTGCTAGTCCAATTATTTCTGTTTTAATTGCTATTTGTAAGTTATTGGAAAGCTAAATATTCTATACTATTATTGTTAATCTACAATTTAGATGCTCTACTGCATCGGTGTACACGTGGAGCGTATGATAAAATAGTACATAAATTAATTGTTAAACGGTTCGCTCGAATTCCTGCACATGATGGTTTTCTCGCACGACGTGTCGCTGGTCCTGGTTTAGCAGCAGAATATTTCTATCAGGTTGCATCGCCAGAAGTATTGGCAGCACTAGAATCATTGATTGAACAGAATGAATTAAAAACTTATCGTTCATATGTTGAACAAATTTTAATGAAGCCTATTGATGAATATCGGTTCGTTGAATTTGATTGAATGAAAACAAGAAGAAAATAGGAATGTTTATATTTTTAGACAATTCTTTAACAGTGCATTTGAACCATTTTCAGCTCAGATTCAAATAAAAAATAGTGAATCAACCTATGGTCGAATGAATGATGTTGTTAACGAACATATACGATCATTACGCACGACAATTGAAAAGTAATTCTATTCGAATTCTTTTGCAATGTTAATTTATTTTGATTTCTGTTAAAAAAAAGGCGTAATAATTTACTCCAGTTAAGTCGTAGTGCTCAACATGATCGTATTCGACTAACAGAAACTGATTTAACAGTAAGAATGTGGCTTTTAATGGAAAAAAAACACAAGTAAATAAATGTTTTTATCTAGGCTGTACTTATTGAAGGAACACAATTAGTAGAAAAATGGTATCCAAAACGAATACTTCCTTATTTAAGTAAAAATGATTTAGAAAAGTTTTGGAATGATCAAGATCTTGAACAAAATGATTGGTTTGGTGAGTATTCGTTTTTGAGATTTCGTTTTGTTTTCGTTGATAAAATGAAATATTTAATGTCTTGTCTATTGTTTTTTACTGATAGGTTTAACAAGTAAATTACTTCAAGAATTATTTTGCCGAGATTTCTTAACACCACTTGAACAAACGGATGTATTCTATAGTCTAAAAGTAGGTTATATTATTTAAATGTGTGTATTGATACAGTATCTCTTTTCAAGGTTGACCATTTGACTTTATCTAAATATGCGCACATGATCCATTCAGCTGATGTACATGATGATCTTGATGTTGTCACAAGTGTTTATTTACCTGAAAGTAAGTTAAATTTACTTTATCATTAAAATGACAACGCACTAGTTATGTGTGAATCTCATCACCTATTCGTGATCACTTGTAAAGTTTAAAACGAGAACAGAATCTTATAACGTTACTAAAATTTTTCTTCATTCCTGGTAGAAAAATTTGAATGATCATTTTTCAGCATACAACAATTTCTTTTGATTATATTTGAGCCTTTGGTTCACTTAAGATCTACACATCTTTAAGCTTCTAAGAAAAAGAAATTTTGAGTCTCTCCTAAAACTGATGTAAGTGTCATAGAGCGACCGAATGTGTTCCATCATATGCAACAAAGACAAAGTAGCTACTATGTGATGAAATCCGAACGAAATAAAATCAGCGCAGTCGATATTTGCAGCATTTATAGAAATGATTACTGATTCAATTCCCATTTTTAGGTTCATATTCAATTCAATATCCATCATTCAATCAAGATATTCTCGATCCAAATGCACGTATTCTTCAAATATCAACAGATTATTCGTATGTTTAGCAAAAATTTCTGTGCCTATTAATTTATCTAACTTTTTTTTGTTATTTAGACACAAACGATATATAAAATCTCATGGTCGTGTATACCGATTTTTCAATCGTAAAGCAAATTATACAAAAATTTCCAAAAATTTATCACAATTCGTTGATTACACATCAATAACATGTCGTTTTTCTATACCAATAGAAATACCTGAAGTAGCTTATATCAGTGTTATAATATTCAATCGTTATACTAATAATTCAACGACAATAACATCGACTAAAAATATAACTCTTCAAGATATTTGTCAACTTATTGAATTCAATAAAAAATTCTATGATCAACCTATGCTACCCAGCAATTTGCCAATGGCTTCATCTCTTACTACAAATAATAATAATACGACAAATGATGATTTACTCATGATTCATAATGCACCGAATAACAATGATGATGACCTACTCGATAATAATATTGCTGTACTTGATGAAAAATTTTTGTAGTTAGCTAATTACAACAGTGAAAAAGTTTGTTTGCCTTTTTGTATACCGTCGTGACTTGTATCTCCTGTTTTTTGCTATTATCCATTTACGCTTTATTCTAATATATCTTATGAATCGAAACGAATTGTCTCATAACGAATTGCTCTTTATTTTTGCAAATTACATTTATTTTCAAAGAAAACAACCAACATAAATTCTAACTCAACGTTGTTTTTTCATTAAAGAGCTAAATTACACCATTACAACGACAAATGTACATCAATCTATTTTAATTGCATACATTCAAATAAGAGTTTAGCATAGAGAAGAATATTCGTTTAGTTTAAACAATCAATTAGAAAAATAAGACGTCAATACTTTTATTAGTATCGGGTGGTCCAAATTGTTTTGGGTCAAAAACAACCTTCACGTTTGGATCGATTTAATATTCAATAGAATTTTTGTAAAATCCATCAATTAAAAGTCAAGAGATCACCTTTAAATGGTTCAAGGATGAAATATTGTAGATTCAACAAAGAAAAAGAAACATATTTCTCTAAAAAACCGTCATCGTATTCATTTATTTTCGTAAAACATTTATCAGTAATGAGAATTTTAGCAACAAACACAATGAAATTATCATAGTTATTCGACGTACAAAATTAGAAAATTCTCAATAGTCAATGTCAGGTTTTGGGAGAATTAACCGAGAATATCTTGGAATCGATTATGAATAGATTATAGTGGAATTTTCTTACCTTCAAGTGAAGGAGAAGTATTTTTTATCTAGAAATTTTCGGATCATCTATTCATGTTAAAAGGAATGCTTTACTTTTTCCGTACGTAAAACTCATTCTATTTCTTTGCTACTTGATCAATTTCGATTGCTGTCATTTATGTTTTCTTCTTTGACATATGAAAACAATGTTTTTCTTGTTTATTAAAAAAGACATATGACTTATTTTTTTATTTTTGCATAAATGACCGGACTTTTAACAATTTAATCATATCGCTCATTATTAATATGAAAATTAAATTTTCATGTTCAAAATCTTCGATAGATTCTCATTACTTATTTCATGAAATTTTTAAGACAATGAACAATTAAATAATTTATTTCAGTGAATAATCTGGTTAAAATCATGAAAGCAAATGCAAAATACTTTCGAAATTATTCGTTGATTCCGTATGAAATCTAATAAACAGTACGGTAATAATGCTTAATAATAAAATAGAAGATCAATGTAATAATTATATCAAGAGATAGACCAACAATATACCATGCGATGAATGTATTCAATGTAATACGATTTGTTGACTTGTCGATGCATGATGTCCAAGCCCAGCCCATACAACAAGTAGCTTCACCATCAGTCATATGGATACTAGTTATACTTGAACCTCCGCCATTATTGCGTCTAGCTTGAAGTATTTTGAAAATGAAATATGATGTTTGAAGAAGAAAACATAATCCAAAAATAATTGGGCAAACAATCCAAACTAGTTCAACAGCCATATTGATATAGAGTAGAGAAGTTATACAACCGAATCGTCGTATATATTTTATATAGTATTCGAGCTAAAAGATAAAATGTTTAGAACGTCACTCTTTTCATGATAAAAGAAAAACAAATGAATGCAATGACGCCATACTATTTCGTGTGTGAGTATTATTGACGCGCTTATATGATAAGATGAATTCGAAATTTCAAAGCACTATAGAAGAACTTCTGTTCAGAATAAAGCAAATAGCAAAAACCGTAAGCATGAATATTTTATCGATGTCTAACTCAATTAAAATCTTGTCCTCAAATAATGGTAGTCATGATTATTTTAAGTTATTATATTTTATCGTAGACTTTCACCTTATACGATAGATAATGTTGTGAAACATGTTTTGGATGGATAAAACATCTCTCTTCAAAATGAAAATTACACTTTTTTGTTGAAATTTGTTTTCTTTTTCAAAGATATTGAGAATCAACAAAACAACAATAACAGTAAAGATAAAACAAAAAATGTGGAAACTTCGGATTTCATCCGAAAGTTATGTGTAATGCAAAAAGTGCATGGGATATATGAGTCATTCT